GATAGATCACTTATGGCCACAGGGCGTTTCAGCTGGTTTGGTCGATATAAAGCTGGGATCGGATAATTTTCTAGAATATTGGAACTTTCCCCGCCCGAATCTCGTGCAGTGCAATCCAAGTGGAGTGGTCGCTAGGAAAGAGAGCGTATTTGAGTTCTAATGATTCTTACATAGAGACTGTACCCTATCTCAGCTATGTTGTATCATTAGAACTCTCTGATAATCAAGCCTTGTTTCTGCGTTCACAAACAGTTACACTGGCAAAACCTTTGCAGACTTATCAAGTTTCTAGTTTTATTCACGGTTTCAGTAACTATGCCCAGGTGTGTCAGGTCTGCATGGTCAGCTGACCCAGTCTGATTATGGGGCTTAGTAGCAAGCAGAGAGGCTTCTCCTCTCCCTCTCTCTCTCCTTCTTTCCCCGTCCTTGGTCGATGAGATAATATCATCTATTTTATTATCTTTCTGCCTCATAGAGATATTATCTATCACTATGGCTCAGGCTACTAGTGGCATGATGTTCGTGACTATTTCCAATACAAAGATGACCTGTTGGAGAGGTTAACTAATCAACCATTCAAAAGGAACCCAACAACGGCGGCAGAGTTTTGGGAGGAAGCATTCCAAATTCAGCTTTCCAAGCTGAAGTCCAAAGATAGAAAGAGAATTATGGAGTTACAGATGACTTCAGATTTTGATCAAGCTGGTTTAAAGAAGATGTTCCAGCCGTTAGAATCCAGATATCATGGCAACAAATTCCACATGATCATGGAGCGGGTTGGAAAAATCTCTTCCCATATCTTATCCTTTGGAAAGGCCATCGATGTTGCTGTCGGTCAGAGTACTCTAGCAACTGGGTTGATATGGGGAGGCATGCGACTTCTTCTTGAGGTATGAAGAGCTTCTTTTACGTGACATTAACTTTTTTGACCAGAAATTCCACATAAAGGTTTCAAGCACATCCTCCGATATGCACGAGCAGCTGCTTGATATGGTTGAGGCCTTGTCAATGTATCTTCCTCTGGTGAAAGACTGGACTGAAATATTTCCCCCATCTGACAATTCTGACTTTGCGCGGAGTCTTAAGAAGACTTGTAGTGCATTTGTTGAATTTCTTGTGGAGGGTATTTTATTCTTCCAGAGATCGTCACTAGGTAAGAAAGCTGGGTGATATTCTTTCTTAGTAAATTGACTGACTCATTATACAGCAAACACAGTTCGCATTTTGTTCTCTCCTGGGTTCAAAGATCAGTTCACTAGATCTCAGCAGACTATGGAGCTTTACACCAAGCACATTGACCGGATGATTGCTACGGCTGATATCAAGGCCTCTCGTAAGCACGAGTTTCACATCCTCGACATTCTCCAGACATCAAGTGTCACACCTCCCGTACCCTTGCCAGTTTTGTTCCCCTTCCGGTTTCTACAAAATTGCATTCGAAACGATCAATTCTTTGGACGAGTCAAGCAGATGGCTCTCCTTGATTCCATTTTCTCCCAGCCATGTGTACAGAACATACAAAGTGTTGTGATACGCGGACTGGGTGGAAGTGGTAAATCGTCTTTAGCCAAAGAGTATATGTACCGCCGCATGGACATATATGATGTTGTAATTTGGGTATATGCAGACAGCACAAGCAAACTCAACACACAATTTATCTCTTTGGCAAGGGCATTAGGGATTTTCACGCATGAGAGTCAGGCCCGTGAAGCTGTTCTCCATTTCATCAATAACTTATGTACGTGCCATTCCCAATTCTCTTTTACAAATTGGTCAGGATTAACCTACTAACACGAGTTGAGAAATAGTGGTTCCATTTCTCATTGTCTTTGACAATGCCGATGATCCTTCGATTTTGTCCTCATATTGGCCAAGCTCAAAACAAGGCTCTGTGATTATCACAAGTAACAACCCTACTACTCGTGAAGAGGGTTACGCACAGCACGGTATTACAACAACAACATTTGACCATGAAAATGGCCCTAAATTCCTCCTTTCACTACTCGATGGTACAAATTGGAGTCCAGAAGACATCAGAGCTGTTCATGATCTCTCACAGCAATATGATGGATTAGCTCTTTGTCTTCGACAGGCTGCATCATTCATGAGATCGAAGAGATGTAGCCCATCCCAATTTTTCAAGCTGTATCAGACTCGACATGCCGAAATCGACACCTTTCCCATACCAAACTACAATAAGAACGTGATCACGGTTTGGAATATGTCAATGTCAATGCTATCTTCGGATTCAATGGTGCTGTTGGACGTGTTATCCCTTTTCGATCCTGATTCGATCCCAACGCAGTTATTTTATCCGAAGCAAGTGAAGCATAAATATGGTGCATTTCTTGAGGACCCACTGGATGTACTCAACGCCGTCGAGGGCTTGCTCAGTCAATCATTTGTCGAGTTCAACCGGCGAGAGGAGACGCTCCGGATGCATCGTTTTTTTCAAATGGCAACTTTTCGACGGCTGAGTCAAAGTGTTGAAAGGTTCCAGAATTCCATTCATCTTGCTATCGAACTCATCCATAACTATTTGCCAGAAGATGAATTTGTCGCAGTGAGACAGCCTCAACGATGGAAATACATTGAGGGAGTTCTGAGCCATGCTTTCAGTGTTTACCGCCAAACAATGTCCAGCCCGCCTGGCCACATATCAGCAATGCTTCTTCAATGTCTGAGCCATCTTGTTAAGTAAGATTTTTTTATTCCTTTGCAAGTATTCTATATACATTCTTCGATGCTGATTTATATTTACATAGTTATGGGTTTGAAACTGGCCAGTATGCGTTAGGTCAAGAGGCCTTTCAGAAAGCGCAGGCCATTTTAGACAAAGTATCTCCTTTGGAATCCACTGTTCTGGCTCGGTTGTACTATTATCACTCAAGAATATGTGCAGAAGAGTGCAGGCCCGAGGATATGCTACACTCAATACAGCTCTCCCATGCGTACATTGACGAAGCAGCAAACGAAAACCCTGATCTGCATCGCGCAGCTCTTTACAAATCAATATTATCTGCCCATGGCAATGCATGTACTGGAATGGAACATTATGCGGAATCAGAACGTCTTCTGCTGCAGGCCATCGAATGTTGTATGAAGCTGGGCATGGAAGAGGAATGGAGCTTGGGCAACTTGACGCAGAACTTGGCAAACTGCTACCTTTGGTCAAGCAACCTACGCAAAGCGGAGCTCACTGCGAATAGAGCTCTAAATCAACCAAACACAAATCCGGAAGCCGCTAAATACACCATGGGGAATATAATGTTGCGGATGGGACGGTATGACGAAGCCCTTTCGTTTCACAAAGACGCCCTGGCGACTTACTGTCAAACGATGGGGCCTGATCATCTAACCTCTTCGGATTCATGGTATAAACTTGGGTGTATACTCTCTATACCCAAATTTGCGGATCATCATATCGAGGAAGCAGAGTAAGTACTCAGGCTTTATCTTTGCTGGGCATCAGGCACCCTTTGGCCGTCCATATGTCAGACTCAATGCTTACTTTATCCTGCACAATAGACGATGCTTCAGAGAAGCTCTTCGTATTGTACAACTACCGGCTAACTCTGGAAATTCTATCTCTGGTGTTCTCGCCTCCAGAATAAGGTGGCAGCTTTCTGCGATTCTGGGCGCATGCGAGGAATCCCACACCATGCAAAGCGAGGCTTTGAAATATTTGGAGGCTCGAGTAGGACGCCAAGTACCTTTTGAGGATGTTGGAGAGACTTTTGGAAGCTTGGTTTTCTACTGGAGCCGCTGAGTTCAATCCAAGCCAGTTGAACATACGTACCTAGTGAATATGGAGAAGCGCGCACAGAAGTCTGATATAGCAGACAGATCTGTACGATGAAATGGGCCCGAGTATCAAGGCGGGCGGTACATCTAGCCTATAGAGAAATCATTTTGCACAATTTGACCAATTTCGGAGGGGTGATGGTTCATTCAGTATGCAAATTTATCTCATCAGATTGATCCGCCATGCAGGGATTTCAGTAAAAATTAGCGGGGTTGTTCGACGATAGAAACACCTTAGTGGCAATAATACGGTTGTTCGAGTAGAATAAACAGTATTACGGTAGATCAACTAGATTTTTCTTAATATTGTATAATAAAAACTACGGTTTTGGCAAATTTAATGTGTATTTCAAAAAATGCGCATCAGGAAACAAATTGTGCATTGAAAAAAACACTACTATAGCTTAAGGTTGAATATTGAAGTTGCAATGTGATGTACAGGTACCTTACTCTATATGTATTGATATCTATTAAAGTATGTACCTACACATATATCTTATACTGTCTACTGATGATATTGACTATTAGAATTCATTGATATCTATCGACAACAACACAACAACCACATCGACAACTGTAGGGGAAAATACTACGGTAGTCAATTGTAGAATGCATATTTTTGAGCCCAATACGCATCCCAAAAAATGCGGCCACCTATGTAGAGTTTTTTTTTTCTAGCGTATTACTGAAATTACGGTCGGGACAACTGTACTAATTTTTACTGAAACCCCTGCATGGCGACCTCATGCCCAAGTCCTTCTCCATACCGTACACAGTCCTCCCACTACACTAGTTGTCGAATCTCGTATATTATATGGCTTGGTCCTTTTTGAGTCTCCTAGTACTGAGGCGAAATACATGAAACACCTGGGGTTAAGGAAGGCAATGAGAAATCTTGCCATCATATTTGCTTAAACACAACGACTGAGCACATACGACCACAGGGTGTGGAGAACAGGGCTTCCCGTCCGCTCAGCCGTACTTAAGCCACACGCCGGTGAGTTAGTAGTTGGGTGGGTGACCACCAGCGAATCCTCACTGTTGTATGTTTTTTCTTTTGTTTTTTTATTGCTGTACCTTCTTTCATCTTAAAAAAAATTGAATGGATGGAGCACGACCTATGCTTTTGCAATTCCTTGTCTTCCATTTCAATGATGGTTCGCTGTGGTCTGCCCCGCTCGAACAATCCAGCAGTATTAAACCAGCGTTTCGGAGACAGTATTCGGGTTCTTCTTCGGCCCGTGGTCAGACGATTGATCAGTACCAGAGGACCTATCATCAGACTTGGTCTGAATCCGGACCTCCTGAACCGAGTCAATTCGGCAGCCAGCCTCATCGTGTGTCAAATCCCATTCCTCCAACTCAGCGATAGGGACCTTCCTGAGTTGATTGCTTTGAGCTCCGCCGTCCAGGTGGATCAGCTCTTGTCGCAACTTGTAGCCCTTCCATTTGGGGATTAGGAAAGCCCAGAACCAATAATAGGTGCCGCACATAACGAGACTAAAGACGGGGAGTCAGATCCGTTGAAGAAGGAACAACATATATATGCATGGGGAATAGGCTCAATTGACTCACATTGCAAGACCAGTCACGGCAGACGTTCCGTACCAAAAGCTCACATCACCTGCATACTGCCCACCAGCGGGCGGGTACCAGGGCATCACGAGGAGATACATTTGGACAAGGATGTTGAAGATGATCACGACGTGCCAGGCTTTGAATTCGGGTTCTGGGAGGTTGGCCTTCTTTCGGCGCCAGCGAATGATGTAAATACCAACAGCCATTGCGAGGTTAAATGCGGCGTTGGGGATGATGTTCAAATCGTTGACTGAATTGGTGTTAGTGCATTGTGCTCAAAAGCAGAACGGAAAGGTCACCGACCGAAAGTGAAAGCGTCTCCAGCTGGAATTGCCAGAATCATCAGCGCGGTTAAAGACCAAATGACAGCATATGGACCCAATGTTGTACCGAAAGGCTTAGTCGAGACCCAGAATGTTGTCCAGGGAAGGACTCCCTGTCGGCCACATTCTCTGATACGGCGTGATAAACCAATGATTACGGCGATCATGTTACCGAAGGAAGCCAAGGCGATGAGGAAGTTGAGACCGCGAACCGCACCACTGTTGCCGAAAACCTTCTCGAAAAACAGACCAGCTGTTGTTAGATCAGATGCTTTGATCTCATTTTGAGGAACTGTAATGGTAAATCACGGTTAGCCTGGTGATTTCAAAATATTGTTCGGCATGGAAGATCTTACTCGCTGCGAAGAAAGCGACGTTTGCGAACATGTATAGCACGTAGACCACCGTGAGCGCGGTGGTCGCATAGATCTTCAAGGATCGCACCGGGTTCTATTGAGAGAAATGTTAGTTCAGAAACTCATGACTCGTGAGGCTCAAACCACCGTACCTTGACTTCGTTGGCAACATTGAATGCATGGTTGTACCCTCCGTATGAAAAGATAATTCGATACAAGGCTGTGGTAAGTCCGTATGACGAAGCAGTCGAGCTGCCTGACCAAGCATCTTGGAAGTTGAGTTTCGGATTCTCGACCTTTGTATTCCCTCCTAACACAACAAACCCAGTCACAATAACGAAAAGCAGAGTGCAAATTTTCACTATTCCCACAGCGTTTGAGAACCAATATGCGTACTTGGTATTGGACACCAACGCTGGACCATGTCAGTATTTCAAGTAAAAGAAGATTGGATTGGGAGGATCCTACTCAGAGTTGCTATGGTGTAGCAAGCCAAGGCAGTCCCTTTGATTTGCCAGTTTGTTCCCGTATGTCCGGAAATCGCGATAAGGTATTTGGCCATAACTGTTTTGTAATCCGTTTTAGTGCAAGGAGCGAAAGCGGACTCGAGAAAGTACTTACCAGTAGCATTGGCGCTTCCATATGAGAGTATGACACTTTGAACTGCGAATGTGGTTGGGAACAGATATCTCGGATTAGGGTAAGTTTGTTCGAGGAAAACGACTTCTGATCCTGATCGACTGGGGAAGTATGCAGTATATTCCAGATATACCGATCCAGAAGTGAGACAGATCTGAAATGGAAATGGCAATTTAGTCGATGGTTCTATGTAATCATGCTTGACCTGGCTGTACTTACCAGATAGCCGAGAGTCCAATATACAAAACTGACACCGATAGACCCAGTGCCAGAAAGAATCGAAGATGCTGTCCAAGGTTGTCTCGTCAGTCGTAATTATTGAGAGGGAAGCAATGATGCCACAGGGCCGGAAAAAAAGACAAAAACGATCGATTCAGAGAGGGAGAAAGAGAGAGGGGAGTGGAGAGAGGGATAGGTTTCAAAAAGTAAGCTCCAAAAAGCAAAAACTTGGGGGTTTGACTATGGAAAAACCATCACATCTCTCAACAGGAAGTGCGCCAGTAGGAGTATACTTACGTGTAGAGTAAATACCGGCGCCGATCATCATCGTGATGTTCAGCAAGGTAATAGTAACGGGACCAACAGAGTATCCGAGAGGTGAATTGCTTTCAACTGGAGCGCCAGAAGCATCCTGATATGTCGCCGGTGCATCATTTCCACCCTTTTCGCTGATATAGGTGCCTCCAGCAGTTGCTGGATGTTTGGCTTGACTTTCATTTCCCTCGCTCGACCCCGTATGTCGTTCGCTATAGGGCCGTCGCCAGGCCATATCGGTTGTGCGTGAGGAATTCAGGACTGCAAGACCAATTGATCTGTAGTTATATTCACCAATTAGTACTTAAGTAGCAGGCTCTGCTCCAGAACTTTAGAACTCCAGCAAGATGGAAGAAAACTCCGGGACTCAATTGTAAGAATTTTTGATACAGCAACCGCTGATCGAGCGATCTATATATTCTAGAACTTGAATAGACCCCTCTCATCCTTCGGGTGTTTTCTACTCCACAATACTTAGATATAGATCATTGCTTACAATTCCAGCGGCTGTAGTCCGTACTCACTCGTACAACTTAGTCAACCAGTGGAGCAAATAATGTCAACATTCGAGGCGCCGATGATATCATGGAGGCGGGAGTGAGTGATTAAGAGACCGGGAACGTGAGACCTAATCTTTCAAAAAGACTAGCCGATATAGCAGAGCATAAAGGAAGCTTGTTCATTGCATGCAACTCCGCGTATACTCTCCTCACTAAGAGTGCCAAGTCGTCGAGTGGCATGTAGCACAAGTGGGGAATGCATCGCGCAATGCTGGGGGTGTTCACGAAATTGTCTGTGCTGGGTTCGCCTCCTGCTCTCACTAAAACATCGGGAAGCCACTTGACGAAAATAAATCGACAAGACTCATCCGAAAAGAGAGACAGAGTGTTCATTCAACATCGGCGAGTATGGGGATGCAGGGTTTTGACCATGAATTAATCTCAAGGCAAAGCGCTGCCCATGGACACAGGTAATCCGGGATGCAAGATGCACGTAAATCGCCACAAGCGCAATGGAATCCTTCATGAGGCAGAATGCAGGGGTAAATTTCCAAAGTTCACTACTCTTAGGCGCAACTCTGCCATTTTGCGGACTGATGGTGTTATCAACCCCGGGCGCTGGCCTTGCGTTTCAGCACGCCATATTGTGCTAAGATGAGCGCGAGGAACATTCTCAGATTGAAAGACTCGGATGTTTTTCTCGGAGCATTCAAGGGAACTATTGGATTGATTCAAAATGACACTTCGGAGATTTCTCCCCGACAGCTCTACTTGTATGGGGTACCTTCGCTCTGTTCTCTTTTTCCCTGTTTCACTTTCCTTGGCCCAGGGCCCCATATGGATTCAATTGATAATTTGAATTCAAGATCCAATTATCCGACACCCATTGGCTGTTGAAAATGCGACATCCAACTCGACGGCATTCCTGCGCCCTGGAGCTTTCAGGTTGTGGCGCGGTATGCCGAGGCTGAACAAGAGAACATTTGAAGCGAAGTGTCAAGGTGGAGGTGCCCAGGTGGAGAAGATCTCTCTCCAGAGGTCTCCCAAAATATGGAGTACCTTAAATTCGAAGATTCGGTAGGAGCCGAGCAAAGACAGGTACTCGGGTGCCAGTACAGACTCGATTGAATTTCTGACTTCGAGGGTAATTCCTGTTCCCCTCCCAACCATTGTTTCACTATGGGAACATATGAGAAAGTTTGGGACCCAAGCATTCAGTACGGAGGAACTAATGGCCACACTCGTGCTAAGCCATAAAGCTTCTGCGACATGGCGCCGATGCTGTGATTATCACGTTCTACTATCCTGTCCCCAACAGCGCACCGACCTTTAGGTGGGCCACTACCCAGTGGAGTTACTTCGGAACCGCTAGCCAGCCGCTAACTATCCAAATTAGCCAGTGGACCTTTCAAAAGATCGAACCAGCCAGACTGGAGAACACCATCAACCGTAAAATAACGCCATCACCCCGGGGAGGGTGACATCCTCGCCATCGACCAAACCAGAATTATCTCCGGCATGTTCAAATTGCCGAACGCTACTAAACATGAACAAAGTGTTACGCAAGCAATGGAATTATGTTTTCCTCTTTAAAAGCGACCGTCCTCTCGCACTGGGATTGGGAAAAGACCAATTAATGTTTGCTCAACATGGGTGCGTATCGACTCGAAACTTGTTGTATTGTCCATCGTAAATTTTACTAAATCTTCATTTAGCTGCTACCACTCCAGTCAATGAAAATGGTCTCGGATTAGCCGCAGAATCAGTGACCAGCACCGTTGATGAGCCCAAAACTGCTCAAACTTCGGAACAAGAGGTGGATTCGGAATCTGAACATCCTCCCCCATCTGAAGAGGAAAAGCAGACTCTTCGCAAGGTTGCAGGTTCACTCCCATTAGTCTCATTTTCATTGTGTTTGGTGGAATTCGCCGAGCGTGCATCCTACTATGGAGCCAAGACAGTATTCAGCAACTTTGTTCAGTTTCCACTGCCAGAAGGTAAATTTTCCCCAAAACACTGCAAGTAGATCTTGCTAACTCCAGTCAAGGTGGAAATGGTGCTGGTTCTCCTCCTCGTGGCACCCAAAAAACTGCTGGCGCTCTAGGAATGGGCCTCCAAGCATCATCTGGAATAACACTGCTCTTCTTGTTTCTTTCATATGTCATCCCGATATTTGGGGGTTGGTGGGCCGACGTTCACATCGGTCGATATAAAGCAATCTGCGTGGGTGTTTTCATCTGCGGTATCGCTCACATCATCCAAGTATTCGGTGCTATCCCCTCGGTTCTCCAGAAAGGTGCAGCCAACGGAGCTCCACCGTTCATCATCGGTCTGCTACTTCTGGCATTCGGTGCGGGTATTTTCAAGCCCAATGTCTCGCCTCTCATTCTTGACCAGAACCCCCACAGAACGGCATATACCAAAACGCTCAAATCTGGCGAGAAGGTCATTGTGGACCCTGAGGCCACGACAAACCGGATCATGCTCATTTTCTATGGCTTCGTGAATGTGGGTGCTTTCTTCATGTTGGCAACTACCTATTCTGAGAAGTATGTCGGATTTTGGCTTTCCTTCTTGTTAGCGGGTTTGATTTACCTCTTGTTACCGATCCTCCTTGCAGCGATGTATAAGAAAACATACAAGAGACCACCAGCTGGGAGCTCTGAAATATCGCAAGCCTTCAAAATTATTGTCACTGCTCTCCGCCAGAGCAAATTTCAGTTCTGGCGAAAGGACTTTTGGGAACTGGTCACACCCGCCGAACTTTCCAAAAAGGGTATCACTGTGAATTGGACGGAAAAAGACGTGAAAAATGTTTCCAGGACAGTGGGTATGTTTGAAACCCCTTCACCCATTGTTCAAAATGGCAGTTTGCTCGGCGATATGCTAACACCTATCAGCTGCCTGTGACATATTCTGGTTCTATCCCATCTGGAACCTCAACGATGGTGGCATCGGCTCTGTATCCACGAACCAAGGCGCATCAATGATCACCGACGGAGTACCAAACGACGTCCTGAGCAATTTCAACCCACTAACAATCATGGTCGTCATCCCCATTCTCAGCTTCGTGATCTATCCCACTCTGCGTCGCTACCGCATCAACTTCGGTCCCATCAGCCGCATCACATTTGGATTTTTCTTAGCGATTCTCGCCGGCCTTGCTGGTGCCCTGGTACAATGGCGCATTTATTCACTATCACCCTGTGGAAACCTGGCTTCGACATGTGATACTGTCGCACCCATCAGCATCTGGTGGCAGCTCCCCAATACCATTCTGAGCGCCCTGAGTGAATGTTTCTGCAACGTGACTGCCTATGAGCTTGCGTACGCACGGTCTCCGGATGGAATGAAGGGTCTGGTAGTGGCGTTCTTCCTCTTCATGAATGCTTTGTCCAGTGCGATTGGAGAGATCATGCTACCGGCAACTGCTGACCCCTGGTTGACGTGGATCTGGGGTGCACCGGCTATAGCACTTGCTTTGCAAACTGTGATCTTCTGGTTTAGGTTCAAGCATTTGAATCATGAGAGTTGGACGGGAGAGGAAGACACTGAAACTGTTGTCCGGGAAGAAACCAAAGTCTAACAAGCCATAGACAGCTGCGAATCGTGTTTGGGTCGTGTTTGGGTGCAGAGAGCAAATTTGCACTTCAGCAGACAACCTTGGAATATACCCCTAATCAGTTAAAGCCAAAAGGTAGCCTGCTTGAATTTGTATCCCCAAATCGAAAAGACAACCCACCGCATTCGGTTGAGTAAGAATTACTATCCTGTATGATTAAATATACCTCTCTCGGTCATGATCTTACCCCATTCCCGTTCGAGTATCTCGCCATATGCCGCCAAAGCCTTCCCTATCATGCGCACCACATCCCAAACGGCCACTCCGCTCAGAAGCTTCGCCCAGATCTGAACAACCCGAATGCACAAATCAGGCAGTTTTGCGGTCAGATCGCCATGGCTATCAATGCTAAATCCGGAATCTGCCTCTGCGACCATATCAGCTATATAAGCGAGTAGTCGCGTTTCGTCTTCGTCCATGGAGACACCAGAAGAACGGAGCTGTAAAGCAATCAACCACTTGCTTAAGACGAAGGCACACTCCAGGGCGCAGAGTGAATGTTGAAGAGACCAGGAGAAGGCCTGATTTCGCGCCACGATATTGACACCAATTTTGACGGGAATACTCAACGCATGGGCGGAGTACAGTACTGCACGAGTCAACTTGCGTGTTGGTTCGAGTCCAGGGCTGCGGTGGATAGATTCTGCTATGTCGTGAGGATCGTGGGTGTTGAGTGCGCGCCACGGACCCACGTCAACGGTTAATCGTATGTATGCCATTCGGAGGAGAGCAGTTGAGTTAAAGGAAATGGGACCATGCGGATTTCCTGGGCCGAATGATGATTCTGGATCCATGTACCATCTGTGTTGCCAGTTCCTTAGTGCTTGTTCCATGTCTGCGACATCGTTTGAAGCGAGTCCTTGATCGAGAGGAGGTCTGTAGCGAGCCATTTCTCTTAGTAGATAGATGTGTTGGATCAGCGCAAGTATGAGAATGTAAGCGCTCAATGAGGAACATTCATGGTGGCTCAAATTCTTCGCATTGCCTTCCCTCGAGAAAAGTTGGGTGAAACAAGACTGGAAAGAAGACTCGGGCTTGTATTGTCTGCGGGTCTCACGCCACTCCTTCTCACTCCGTGCTGCCCAGCTTGACTCCAACGACGGGAGACGAATGTTGAGTTCTGAATTCTGTATCGCTGGTGGAGTGTCGTAGACTATCGTATGGAACACCAAGAAACAGAATACGATGGCAACTGTTCTCTTAAACCCTTCCACACGGATCCATTCATCCCAGGCCATATCTTCCGATGGTTGGATGTGCGGCTCTAAAAGTTTTTCATCTCGCATGAGCTTGACCAGGATATTTTGTAGGCCAATTGCCTCATCGTAGATCATTTTTGAGTTGCCCCATGTTGCCACTGCCATCAGCAAAAGGAGAGTCTGAGCTATAGGTAGAGGGTCGAACTGGTCAGATCCGTGCTGGCCCACGGGTCGGTTTGTCGGAACGTCTCGAATTGGCTGTCCAGGTTTGAGATGGGGGATCTGTTGCGGAGCTGGTCGGATGTTCGATCCGTCTTCTGTTAAATATTTCATTTCACAAAGCTCGGCTTTGCGGCGCCGTAAACGCTCCAAAGTGATGGCGTACGACGCTCGGAAGAACATAACAGCATTGGCGTTATCAAATGCAGACTGTGCTCCGATGATGGCCATACCTAGGATCAGCTCCACTGGGTGTTCTGTAGGTTTGAAAGTTGGTAGGTGTAGAAACGGTAGGTGACGATGAAACCCCGAGAAATAGGTTGCAATATAGCGAGTCATGGTGTGACGTGATGGGAGTAAGAAGTTGGCAGGGAGGACGGAAACCATCTTTTGAAGCTCGCTCAGTAAATGCTCCCAGTCTTGCTGGGTCACTTTCCAGGGCTCGAAATTATGTTTAGAAGGTGGTTCGAAGGAAGGAAATGTAGATGAAAACTCATCGAAGAGGCGTGGTGTTGATGTATCCTCGGCTGGAGAAAGTAGGGGCATATGTGATAGATTTTTCTGACCATCCGGCTGTAGTTCGTTCAGGTCACCGAATAATGGATGGGATGGAAGGGCCGAGGTTGGTTGGTCGAGCAGAAACGCAGCACTATTTCCACAAGGCAGGTCCATGCTGTCAATGAACAGAGCAAAGTCCCCGAAATTACTACTCGGCTGTGCCCATGAGATGTGCGGTACATCGCCCGTCAGCTGGGGTGAAAATACCCCTGTGTTGTCAGCAGATAATGTTGAGTTCGCCGGGACCCTTGGGTCTGGACACAGGGACAACCCTGGACCGGAAGACGTGACATTTGGATAACACTGATTTGAGGCATTCCATGAAGATCCTTCGTGATGTGCGGTGGACGAGTGCACATCTATTGAAGGACCGAGGTCACGCTCAGTGGGTTGAGGCTCCTCCTGGCCATGAGGAACTGATCCTGAGTCACAGCGATCGACCAAAGGAGCATGCGAGATCCGTACATGGCGGGCGAGCAGATCTCTGTCGTATTCAAGTCAGCCCCTCATGTTGACAGTGTAACAAAATGATCAAAAAGTCGATACCTCCGGGTGAATGTTTGAGAGCAAGTTGAGCAGCTGAAAGGTTTCTCCTTGGTATCTGGCACTGAGTAAGCATGATTTCCTTACCGCATTGGGGTCTCATACGTAGTCGCTCATGTCGTTGTAAATGCTCATTTCGGAGGAACTCCTTCGCACAGAATTGGCAACGGAAGACGCGTTTGCGCGATTTCGAAACTGGCGGCGGCGATGGCGGATCGGCATATTCCGCAACACCGCCTACGACGGCTTCTTCCCCTGAGTCCTGATTTTGCTTTTTCCTTGGCATTTCGATTCACATCCTCGTTTGGAGTACGACATTACAAGGAATGTCGTGCAGCGTTGGGGAAGGTGACGGGGCGTGAGCCATGACTAGTATCTGTGATTGGTCAATTTCATCAGTCTTGGCGTTTTGGGGGAATTCTCTGCAACTCCATCTCATGGCGCTTTGGGGGATATCTCGCGAGACTGCGAAGTCAACAAAAGATTCTTTGAAGGATCTTCGATGCTCAGTCAATTTGCTTCATTTGATAACTTACGTCACATGAGACTTGTTCAAGCTGACGCATGCAGTATATACCAACAGGACTCTTCGACTCCTAGACTCTTCGCCAGCACGGCGATGCACCTCCATATGAATTCGATCGAGACAAAGTCCAGTAGCGGGCTAATTCCTGGAACGAATCACACGATTTGAAAGCACAACCGCGATTCGTGATGACTCTGTCCACAACGTCTACAGCCGGGGGATTGGAGAGATTCTCCAAAGCGCCAAGAGATCACCCCACAATGTGTTGATGTCACATATAAATCCGACCAATAAATTCACACATTCCGGTGATGCTGTTTGTCCTCTCATTCTCTTTTTATGATCTTTTTATGAACCCAACAACCACCAGCCACAGGAATATCCGCACCAACAAACATGCCAAGCCCTTTACTCCCCGACACCCCGCAGCATATTCTGCAGCTCCTCAGTGAACTTCATCAGAAGTCACTTGAGCAGGAAGCCATAATCTCGAAAAAGGGAAAGGTATTTTCGGCAGACGTGTTAGGAGATCTTGAGGACAAGCAACCGAGCAGCAATCCAAAGGATGCATTCAACAAGCTTATGCTGGACAAATTTATCGCATTGGATGAAGACAAATGTCAATTTACGTACCAGCTGATCAACGCCATGGGAGCCACCAATGTTGTTGAGGCCGGAACTAGCTTCGGAGTCAGTACTATTTATCTGGCGCTTGCAGTTGCAAAGTCGAAAGCCGCGACTGGCAAATCTGGAACCGTGATCGCCACCGAAAACGAACCCGAGAAGGCGGCAGTTGCACGCAAGTACTGGGCACAGTGCGGCCCTGAGGTTGAGCAGCAGATCGATCTCCGAGAGGGCGATTTACTTCAGACACTCCAAGATGGACTGCCAGATGTTGATCTTCTACTTCTTGATAGTATGTCACAATCCTTTCTCCATTCGAGAGCCTTTGCTAACTAGCTATAGTCTGGTCCGCACTTGCATTGCCCACACTGAAGACTGTTTTACCTCGCCTTCGGCCTGGCGCCGTCGTGTTGACCGACAATACAATCTCAGGTGCTAAAGGGTACGCGGATCTGCTGGCATACCTGCGTGACCCATCGAATGGCTTCCAAAACCAGACTCTCCCATTCACCAATGGGTTTGAGATGAGTGTTTATATGCCCCAGCGCCAATAATTTATCCACGGGGGCAACTAGAAAGCCCCGGATACTGCAATAAAGTGCGATAGCTTACAAGAATTATGACGAGACACTGAATTTGAACCCAAATTTCTTGTCTTCAACTAAAAATACCCTCTCCTCTCAGGACTTGGACTGTCACGAGCCGCGATGCCAACAAAATCTCGCGAGATGCTTCATCTGACTTGGATCACAAGAATAAGCAAACGCCAAGACTTCCGCGCTAGCTTCCCCCTCTTTGCGGCAAGTTTTTTTCTTACGTTCTCTTTTCCGACCTGACCAGGAACTGCCGAAACCGAGCCGGAGAAACTTTAAGCAGTAGATCTTGACCGTGCTAGAGTGTTTCACGCTCTCATTGGCTCTTTAGCGTGGTGTGGACGTTGGCCGAAGAACCGGCACTGACGAAAGGTCACCGATGCCCAGACAGGCGGAGCGAGGCCTGCACTTCATCAATACTAACCCCTCATCGGCAAGACCACGATCGGATCTCATCCATGAGATAAGATCGCACGCTGGGAGGTGGAGATGGCAGCAGGTTCGCCGGGATGAAGATGCAGACCGAGATGAATATGTCGATTTTGACAGTGAACTTGATCAATCTCATCACCCCGAACATAGCTATGTCACCACGACAGGAGCGATCGCAGAAGAAAATGAGCGGCTCAATGCTGTGGAATTGGCACCTCTGACGTCCGACGCCACTGCCGTTGTGAGAATGGATCCACGACGTCCAACCCCTTTTAATGCATCACAATCTCACGCCATCGGAGCAACAAACTCAAGGATCAAGAGACAAGAGGAACCATCCGAGGAGAGTCGAATTGCGCATGTATCCCAGAATCATTTGGGATATCATCCCCGTCGCTCAACGCTGAGCAGAAATCCTCATGCGAGCATCTTAGATCCTTTCCATACATCAGTTCCGTCACCAATCCCCATCGAGTTTATCAGCATAAACAACAAATACGGTAATATTGCCCAATTCAAGTCGTGAATTGCTTTCTGAATGCGGTTAGCTGTCTCGGTACTCTGGCCTGGGCTGATGCCGGGATCCACCACAACGGGCAACCATGCAGGTGTCAATGCGTGGTTCTCCCATTCCATTGCTCACTCTGCTCTGCATAGCTCCATGCTCTTCGGTTCTTTCTCCCATCGCAGGGTCCAGGTTCACACAAAAGGCCGTGGCCGTTTCAGCTCAGATGACTTGAAACAAATGAGCCTCTCCCATGAGGACTCAATCTCCAAAATCAACGACGCGATTCAAAGGATATCGAACGCCGTGACGGATGATATCATTCTATGTGTCTTATGTTTAGCAAACAATGACACGGCCAGGTACCAGAAGGCTGACGAGTCGCCTTTCAGGCCCCCACTGCGTAGCTTACAGTGGCTGGACATTTATGGAAGTCTTTCTCCAAATCCCATTCACCAGCAAGGGTTGATTCAACTTGTTCGTCTCAGAGGAGGTCTGGACAAAATCGAATTGCCTGGGCTGGCAGCGGTCATATCATTGTAAGCGTGTGGACTGGTAGTGGCTTATGACCTGACCAATGGAGACTAACTCACAACCTTTAGTTCCAGCATTTTGGCTGCCTCTCGAAGCCTGTCGCCGCCGTATTTCCCCATTATCTCGCTGAAGGGAGAGGCACTCACACTGCAACACATGCTGAGCACACAGGATTTAATACTGGATCCCTCGGATCCTTTGGGCTTTTTTGAAGGGACTCCAGAGCTACAATACATCTTCCAGGCTGTGCGGCGCTATGTGTCTCTCGTAGAGACATACATCGACGGATCTCCGACGGCAGAGGATCTCGGTACAATTTGCGACCGCCGCAATCTTGTACAATGGCACATCATGTCGCTGATCCCCGCAGGCCAGGGGCTCTATAATGCTAGCTCCGATATGTATGAATGCTGTCGATTGGCATTGACCATTTTCGGGGTGGGCGTGGTTTTCCCACTTCCAAGTGAGATTGTGCCATTGTTGGAATTATCTCGCATGCTACTGGTGGAGATGCACTCGGAATCATATAGAAACGCAGCGATTTCCAGTGTGAATGCCCAAGAAATCCATTGTTGGTGCGTGATCCTGGGTGGAATTGCAGCTGGACGTTCCCAAGAAAGGGGTTGGTTTACTCAAGAATTGAGACTTTGGGCAGTATCCTGCTCCATAAAGAGCTGGGATGAGCTGTTGGTAACTTTGCAATCTGTTCTGTGGTTCAATGGCGCGTGTGATTTGGCAGGAAAAGATATGTGGATAGAGGCGATGAGCCCGGTTCTTGAATAAATTCGTACGTTGCCAACACCTTTGTGGTTGGAATCAGGTTAAATCTAGGCATCATCCGACCTGGCCGCCCTGCCCTTGGTAGTCTTGAGGGACGCCACGATTCGCATCATCGTAGAATGATTCGCGCAGAATCTCTCGAAAGCTGGTGCCGGATTTTCTGAATGGTCCAAGTCCAGGTGACCCATATGTCTTCGAGCACATGCGCCTCCAAGTATGGGGACATCTCCCTAAAATGAGCTCGACCAGAGAAACTCATTTCAGATCCAGGGCGGAGTTTCAAACATTTTTGACAGTATTATAGTGCTGTTGGACGTCGAGAATCGCTTGCCCACGCTTCGATGAAGATCGGGGAGGACGGCTCGCCATCACCCAGTGCGGCGGCAAGTATTGAAGGGACTGTCCTCACACAGCAGTCCACCCCCTTTCATGGAAGTAAAAGCTGAGATGATGACACGGGCTATTTCGCGTCAAAAAACGAACTTTTGAAAGGAGTTACTCTATGTCATACATAATGTGTGATAAGGCCCAGGTGGTCTCTTAGGGCTAGAAGACCATCTAAACGACTGGGAGATCCAATCACATACCACACATGTCAAACAAAGATCCAAGCGATATACAGAGAAGAAATTGTCAGTATTGCCCAAACTGGCTAACTGGTCCCCTAGTATTTCGCAGAATTCTCACCCCCCTCAGGCAAAAGTCTCGCTCCACCTGAAGAGACCGATCTCCCATCATCAACCTGAACAGAAATATCCGTTTTCACAGTAACACAGCCATCATCTAGATGTTCCGGCATTTCAGCCTTGGAAACCCGACTCTCAGAACGCTCATGTTCATACCCATCCCAGCGAGTTGCTGGATTCTCCTCATCCCCCATCTGGAAATTGGTCGCGGTAGCTGAATCAAACCATTTATCTTTCGCAGCATGCCGGCGTTTCAGCTCTGTATCGGGATCGTTGTCGTTTGTGGATCTTGAGCGTGACCAGTATCCGCCGTGCGAACGGCCTTCGCGTCTGTGGTCTACGAAGGCGCGGAGGAACAGGCGGGCTACTGGGGCGCATGAGGCGAGGAGAATACTGTAGTTCTCGATTCTGCTTCTGTTAGAAAATTTCTTGAGGATGTTGGGGTATGGGTTGATGCTTACTTCACCCATAAGACAAAAGTGACGATGTTGTAAGTGAAGTCTTGTCGATCACCGAGGGATTTGAGTTTCTAGATTTGTTAGATTGTTCCCCTGCGTTTGTGTTGGTGCGCAATTCTCACATATGTTTTGACTATAGAAGCACACCCGGAGAGGAGTAATGGCCCGCTAAGGGTGATGGTTTGCCAAATTCGTCGGGATCGGACTGTGCCACTGATCCTACTGAATTGCGACCAGAATGACAAGTTTGGGTTGCGGTGCAAAGTCCTCAAGAAGAACTGCCACAATTCAACTGCAGCAAGAACAGCAAGAAAGTAGTCGATGACGGTGTTAAAACCTGTCTGATTAGCACGCCATCGTCTGGTAAAATGTAGAATTCGTTCGACATACCTCCTTGCACAAATCCAACGGTTGTCTGAACGGTTGGTGACTGGCATTTCACTGAGCCGTCTTTTGGTAGGGGCGTCCACATGTAGTGGAAATACTCGACACGGTTGCTCTGCGAAGCCGTCAGAATACATCAGGCCACCTGCAGGGAAAGGGGGATGCGCACTGCTTGATAAGGGTTTGGCCCGCACTGGACAACAATCTGAACTATAGTGATCATATTGGCAACAAGTTGAATGATAGCGCAGATAATGATGGAGATTCGGATCTTCTTGTCGCTTGCTGCAAAGCAAGTCAACAGGAACCACATCATGCCAGAGCGGGATATCATCGCCGAAGCTACTGCGAGTGGTTGTGAGAGAAAATCCCATTTCATAGACTGAAAGCGCTCAGTGGGATCGAGATAATAGAAGTGTCTCCCAAGGCCAGAATTTGCGCTGCTAAGGTTAGCTACTGCGCGAATGGTGGATGGGAATATTGGGCTGAAGTCACCTCATTTGAATGAATGCCATGTGGGTGACATCGAATCCGTACGCGACAAGGAAGAATAAGTCTTCGATCCCCCATACTCTTTCAGGCGCTGTGACTTGAGGCAAGGCCCAGCGGACCCATATCTTGATTGCATAACGAAATAACAAAGCCACACCCACGACAGCAGTGAGGACCTGATCGAAAATTAATACATGAGCGCGTGCATGACGTCTGTCTCGCCAAGATTACTCAAACATACCCAGCAAGCCTGAAACGTCCCAGTTCCTAACAAAGACGATAAGTATTCGTTCCAAACAAGGTCAAGGTCGCCAGTCAACATACCGATATCAACATCACCTTCCTCGGGTCTGGGAATCTCCATCTTCAAGGCAAAACACAAGAACCAGAATGTTTTAAAACCTGAACAACTCGCAATTCAACCAGCGCAGAAGCCAATTCAAGTACTACTCATGACATGGATGCGCTGATAAACCAGTAGCATATGGGGTCGATGAGATATATCGAAAACAAAACCAGAATCAGGCCCAGGACTAGGGACTTAGCTAAACTTTGCGAACCTCCAAGTTCCTGGAATGGACAATGGGATTCACGTACGAAACTCTCGAACTGATGTACAGGTCAGAACCCTGAAGGAAGTCAGCCCTTGTCGGGCCGGGGGATGTCAAGCACCGACAACCTCGGACTAGAACAAGGGGTGGAAGGCAAATCAGGCACAATAACCACAGTGAGGGGTAGGTAGTCTCGGATGGATTGAGTCCCCGCGCAATAATCGGGATCCATATGCTTGATACGAAGCGACAGCCACCAATCCGAAAACAAATCAGAATTGATCTTCTGATCAAAATTGGCGATAGGACCGAGAGGGCTCGAATCAGGTGGATTCATTGAATTTGACATTTCTGTGGAGTAGTGAGGAACCATGCAATGGCCATGCGCTATGCAGCAAGGGATGTGCCGGCCAAACATGGTTGAGAAGAAAATACCGAGACCCGAGGTGGTGGACATGGAGAACAAACTCAGATGCGCTGTAACCAATCTCACCAGGCTGGGTTCCGTCTGTATTCTGTAGAACTGCGCTGTGTGAGCTGTAGAATGCGTGTCATGCAATCTGGGCTTAATCTGGATCTTAGATCGGTAGATCGCGTAGATTCGGCTGCAGATCTCGCCCACAGACCTTCCAAGATTGTTGACTGTGAGCATAAGCAGATCGACAAAAATTAGCGCGAACTGTTCGAGATAATAAGCTTCGAGTAAGCGACACTAGTCGTATGGATATTTTAACGTTTGTGATGTGTATTGTGGGAGGAAATGATGTATCAACATTGCCCCTCAATTGGAGATCCCAATCATTTACTCCAGGGCTCCGTCTAGTAAACCAGCACCAATGACATCGTATTTGTGTCTATAATATTCAAACCTCCGGATCAATGACCCGCCTCATCTCCACCAGGGACTCGCCAGCCCTGACATACTTCTCAAAAGTAACTTCCAACCCCGTCAAACTCGCAATCTGTCGCCACTCAGCCGCACTCCGCTCGCGTCCTCCATACAACGCAATCATACTCGCATGGAGCGAGGTATAAGTCATATTTTTGGCGTATTCAATAATAAGTATCCGCGAGTTCGGCGACATAGCCCGAGAGATTTTCTGCAGTAACGCCACAGCATCCAAATCAGGTAAATTGTGCAGAATATGCTGCAGGGAATAGATCCGCGCCCCACGAACAGGCTGCTCGCCCGATGCCTTGAAATTCCATTCCATCAAACTAACACAAGACAGAGAATCAATGTCAGCGTTAAACTCTTGCACAATCAATTCCTCCGTTCGCAGATGGGGATACTCCGCCCGCACCTCGAGGAGAAGTTCACCACGTCCACCACCGATATCAACCATGGCCGCAGATCCAGAGCCAGCGAGCGCGCTATCCAAATCGTAGCCCATGGACTTGACGCGGTCCGGGAAAGTTCCGAATTTGAGGAATTTGCCGACCATGAAATTATTGAAGCTATCCATGCGCCCTTGCTTCTCCATGATTGAGTATGTGTGTTGGGACGCTAGGTCGGGCTGGCCCATTAGTTGATATGCGTATTGCAAGGGTCCGTCTGCGTCTGTGAAGGGGTATGCGAAGCCAGTGTCTTCGAGCTTTTTCATCAAAAAGGCGCCGGCCATTAGTCCCTCTGTGGTGCTGGTCGGAGTTAGTCCATTTCTGGTTGAAACAATATATCGGGACTGACAAGTGCAATGCGCCATGCTGCGCGGATGGCATGGCAACCATGTGTTTTGTGATGGCATTTGCCGAGAATATGTTTTCAGCCACGCATTCTACCATGCCTAGTCCAGACATGATGTAAAGTGTGTCCGCTGCATGGGTCTGATTAGTATTGTTCCAAGGTTAAGTTGATGAATTGATGCAAGTCGGATGTCCATACAGGCTAACCTGGTACCTATTCCGAGATTAGTCAAGTGAAGTAAACAAGAGACAGGTTGGAGAAAGCACCCAATTCTCTCCAAAGACATACTCAGCTCCGGTTCATTCTTTCCTCGCGCATTGATGCGATCATTGCATGTTTTGGTCACTTCATCAACAGTCGCAGGACCACCATGTTCTACAAGGATGCTGAAGAGATCAAAATGAATCGCGACCGGGACAAATCCTAATGATGCAGGCTGCGACCGAATTAAATTTGATCTCGTCCGATGGGTCTGTCATGCTCACCACTGTGACTGTTGCTGCCAGAGCGGCACCTGGGGGCGCAACGGGGGCGGGGGATGATAGGCCAAGAAGGCCGGCTAGGCGGTTTAGAAAGGACATGACGCGGTTAACTGAGGGGTCGAGATTGCAACTTGCTTGAGTGAAAGAAGAGTGTTGGAAGCCGAGGGGCTCTTGTGGTGAAGTATAGAAACTCTATGGTCCCCAAAATAGAGAGATCCGATCGGTAGGCATTCCGAAGGTGAGACTTTCAAGCTAGAGAAGCTAAAGTAGGAAGGATTTCTCTGTGGAAAGTACAAGCGCCAATCCACAAACCAGGTGATTGGCTGATTCGTGCCAGCAAGGGGTAACAAAAGCCACAAAACTGCAAGATACGGCATCAAGCGCGAATTCCCTCAAGGGCAAATGGAAATTCAACACAGTGATCATCCTAGTTCCTCCCAGAGATCGACTAGTGGCCCCGGGGGCGGGGTTGAGGCGCCACTTTCATAGAGCATGGCCCCTAGTGCCCCTCTGGGTTTGTGATAGATTCACTGTGCCATATTTGCATTCGGAATACTTCAATCCTGATCTCAACCTTTTCGATACATCAGACATTAGCCGTTCTCGAACCAAAGTTCCAGAACCGATCTGTACGACAAAAGCCACGAGTTTTGCCATGTGTTGGATCTAGAAACCGACTATGCATAAAACCTTCCCCGTCACACAGAAAAAGATCTTCTACCCTCCTTACTTGTCATTTTACCTTTTTCTCACAACTCGTACCTCAGACACCTGAGCATCTCCCGGAAATGGAGAAATCTGCACTCACTCTGCACGAGATGGCAGTTAGTTCCTCGCAGTCCCAGTCGATCGACTGCGAATCCTCAGATACCACCTCGGGGATGTCAAGAGATGCGACCAATCCACGAAATTGGACTTCGGCGCGGAAAACAATGCTCTTCGTGTCCCTCATGACCAGTTCGCTGTTAGCTGACGGGTATGTATGACCGGTTCATCGTGAAATCTTATCAGCCAACTCAGACATGCATGATCTGACAACTACCCAGGGCCATGGTTTGGGGTGGTACATTGGTTACCGAGCAGGCGATGGATTGGGATGTGAGTGTCACACATTCAGCAACAAGTATGAACTATGGAATTCTGCTTCAGGGATTCGGGGGCATCTTTGCTGTTCCGTTGATCGAAGCATATGGTCGGTAGGTTTAGTCCCCTGCAAATTTTTGGCATTATGCTGATGAACAAAGCTTGCCAATCTGGCTGTGGCCCCAAGTGATCACCATGCTCATGGTTCTTGGGGCGACTCTTTCCAATGACTGGTCCACTTTCACCACTTTTCGCTCTTTGCAGGGCCTGTTTGGGACTGTGCCTCAGGTCATTGGACTTCCGATCATCCATGATATGTATAGTGAGGAAGGTGAGTTTTTCCTTGTCGCGGAAACTCGAGAGATTGTAACTGACCATACCAGAATGGCCCCGGATGATCAACATCTGGTACAGGCTCCAGCCTATTCTAAGCACAGAGTTACAGAATGACTAACACCGTGTAGGGGAACAACCTTCCTCGTTGGACCATTCCTTGGTCCTGCGATTGCTGGATACATTGGCGCTGGCACGGATTGGCGCACTTCCTTCGGAGTCTTGACAGCCATATACGGCATATCCACAATGATGGTGATTCTGTTTGGCTATGAGACTAACCATTTCCCAGAGGGCAAGGCACGCTCGTCACGCCTCGCCTCATACTTTGGAATCGGTAATACCGGACTCCCCAAGGGAACAACATTGCTCTACTGGAGCCGGAAAGTCGTGGTATATGTGTTCAAGTTTCCTCTGTTGATGACCGGTGAGTGATGTGAAACTTTAGAATTAGATGAGAGGTCAGTGTTAACGGTGTCAACAGGGATGACTATTTTGGTGACGTTTACATGGCCAATTGGTGAGTTGTGAGCCTTTCCTGTCAGAATTCTGCTCAACACCCTACCACAGGAATCACAACCACGATCGACAATTTCTTACATAGTCCCCCGTACCTCTTCAATACAATTGAAGCATCATCAATGCGATTCGCGGGTGTGATCGGGGCTTTGTGTGGTAAGTCCCACCCTCCCGGGTCTTGGTTTGTCCATTCTCACAGATCCAGGTTGGGCCTTCGGGCATTTATTCAACGACTGGATCTTCAAGCGCCACATCACAGTCTGGCGAACTGAGCTCCGGCTTCATGGAGTGTGGTTCCCTATCGGTAGCATGGCCTGTGGCCTGCTCACGTACGGGCTCACAATGCACTTTGGCAAACACTGGATTGGCCTTGCCTTTGGGTGGATTCTGGTGAATATCGGCATGGTCGCGACGATTGTGTAAGTACCTCCGGCTTCAGGAATGTCAGTTGGACCTTCTAATTTGCGTTGTTAGTGCCATCTCCGCATACGCATTGGAAAAATACCCTCAGCAGGCGACGTGTGTCTCCGCCATATTGAATATGTGGCGCACCTGCGGTGGCTTTGCTGTTGGATACTTCCAGCCAGCGTGGATTGCCCGTAATGGGATTGGTCTGGTCTTTGGGGTTCAGGCTGCCATTGTTGTTGTGGCAGCCGTTTTGACAATCTCTCCCGTGCTTTTGTGGGGGCGGAAAAGGCTGCCAAGTGTGACTGGAGATGCTTGAATGGTCCCGAGGTCTGTTCCTGAGGTCATGGATGTATGATGAAATGAGTGGAATGGTGGAAAGAGGAGTGATGTGTAATGCATTGGACTCGTAGGGTTGTATATATATCTGATTTTGGCTCTCTTTCTTGTGCTTTTTCCAAGGGTCTCCTGAAGTCTTCTTGATGTACTTTTTTGAGTTGAATGATTTCTTTCCTTCATGTCGTGCTTTCTGGTCGGAATTGAGCTTCTCACCGAGTGCTTTGGGCCGAATAAACTTTGGAGTTGGTCCTGGCAAACGCTCTCAGCCATTGGGGACCCCACGATGCGGCACATAACACGGGACAATGCTAAGCAATGACTAGTGTGGGCGATAGTTGGAAACTCTGAAGTTGATGGCCAATGGGTGGCTGAAGATCCGCACCAAGACCCTCCAATATGCACGAAGTTCAGAACGCGGGATATGGTGAGAGTTCACAGGAGTCGATCGGCTGTTTCAGGTTCTGGTCATGTGATATTGCTGCCTGATCCCCCAGGCTGCCGATCCACCGATGAAACACGCGGCGCCTCGGATGATGCTTAATTAACGTCTGACACGAACGCCTTCTTTGACAGGTTGATCCTAATGGATTTGAAACTCCATTTATACCTCAATCTCACAGAGATCTCAAAATCACAAAGCACTAACCTAGCTACGAGTACTAACTGAACCCCTGATCGATCTTCACCTCCTGAATCCTCCCCACCTTCACCTCCAGACGATCATTGCCTGAAATTTGTGGTCCCGCAAGCGATGACGCTGCGCGTGGGGCACCAAGCAGGCCCTGAGGAACCACACACAGCCTCGTTGGCTCATGGGCCGCGTGGTTGATGATCCATGCCCAGTGAACATGTCACTAGGCCTATCAAACGGCACCGTTTAGAGCTTCGAACCAAATCTGGCGACAGTTCCTGCCAGGATCGTCCACCGTCCACCTTCGCCGGGGTCGAACTGGTTTGCCTAGGGCGATCACTGACCCTTTTTCCCATCGCGTTTCATTAAGCGCTGCCTGTCCCCTCTTATTCTGCTGTCTTCTGTCAATGTCCCTTCGTTTACATTCACTAACAGTTTGAACGCAATCATGTTCAGTTCTCCCCGACGATGGCTCTTCATCGTCATTCCGATCCTTACATTTAGCTTCATTTATTACATTTTCCGACTTCCAGAGTCAAACCCGGTCCCTGTGAACACCGAAACCCCTCGCCCGGAGGATCCGATCGTGGTCGCAGACGAGAAGCAGCAAGAAACACCGTACCAATCCTCAGAAATAAACGAAGATAAATGCGGCCACCTTCTCCACAAGCTTGACGATGTGATGGTTATTTTGAAGACCGGAGCGACCGAATCCCTCGAAAAAGTTCCCATCCACCTCCGCACCACCTTCCAATGCGTTCCGCACTTTGCCGTCTTTTCCGACTATGAAGAAACCATCGAAGGCGTCCGAACCTACGATGTCCTCCAAAACGTCACCTCCGAAACCCAAGCCAACCAGCCCGAATTCGGGATCTATCGCCGCCTGCAGGAAGTCGGTCGCGAAGGCCTTACTGATGCCGAATGGGGTGACAATGAAAACGGCCCGCTCGGCAAAGTCAACAACCCAGGCTGGAAGCTTGATAAATGGAAATTCCTCCCCATGATCGATGGAGCTTTAGACCTCATGCCAGACGCGAAGTGGTACGTCTTCCTCGAGGCAGACACATACATGGTCTGGCCGAACCTGGTCAACTGGCTCTCGCATCTCGACCACGAACGCCATTATTACCTCGGCAGTCCCATGCAGATCGGCGATGTCTTGTTCGGATATGGCGGCGCCGGCATCGTGCTATCGAGCTACACCATGCAAATGCTTAGCGAACATCGCGGGCGCTCCCAGACAGAGCTGGAAGAGATGACGGCCGCTGAGTGGGCTGGAGACTGCGCGCTCGCCCGAGCTTTGCAGGACGTGCGCGTCGATTTGACGTGGGCCTGGCCCATGATGATGACGTCTCGTCCTTGGGAGATCGATCACTTTTCCGAGGGATACGGGCGCCAGCCATGGTGTTACCCGGTCATCTCGTATCACCACATGCAACCGGATGATATCGAGACAATGTGGAAGTTTGACCGTCAGTTCTTCGCGAGTGGCAAGAATGCTTTGATGTTGCATGCCGACGTTTACCAGAAACTCGTCTACAATGACACCTTCAATGCCCGTGATGACTGGGACAATCTATCTGCTGTCCAAATCGACTTCGCGGAGGGCACAATCCCGAGCGTCCAGACCTGTGCCGAGGTCTGTGTCCGGAATGAAGAGTGTTTGCAATATTCCTTCGATGAGAACGAAGGCATTTGCAAACACGCTTCCACGACTTTCGCTGGCCTTGCTAAAAACGGGACATCGTCTGGCTGGATCAGACCACGAGTCTCAAAATTACTCAAGGCCTTCCAGTCCTCATGTGAGGGCGTGGAATATATTTTTGCCTGATTATCACTCTTCAGCATTTTCATTTCTTGTATATATACATTCTTTCTTGTTCACCACTTTCGCTCACGGACTTGAGAACGAATTCCCAACTTCTCTAACATCGTCATTGGCGAGGCGTTTCTCCATCGGCGCCTGGCGTCTGCTGGGCAGACTAAAACACTACACTTCTGGACATCACCTTTTCATTTTCACTGTCACTTATTGCACTTTGCATTTACGGATATTTCTTAGCGATACTGCTCACCGTCTTTCAATTGAAGTTCATAGAATACATGTCAACGTCCTTCTACCAAGTGCATTGGCGACATTCAGTTCACCGAATACGGCGTCGCCGTTTGGGAGAAACCTTTCGCTCTGAGCGTAGCACATTTCAGGAGAAACTGCTGGTTTCGCTTTTGGGCTTGACCTGCCTACCTCCGCCATCTGCAGATTGCCGACGCATTCCCTTGAGGAAAGGCGTATGCTGTCCGATATTTTGTTGATCCTCATCTCGGACAAATTTGCGTCCGTCCAGCATGTGTACAAAGATAACGTTGGGTATTTCTCTTCGAACACATAGTCGCGGTCTTTAGGAATCTTTTCGCTCGGGGCCATTGTGATTGGTGTCCGAGAATGAGGGGATATTATCTTTCCTACTTTCGCGTAGACCTTGCGAGATGGCTGGTGATGAATATGGATGTAGGAACTTGACTCGTGCTCCGAGCCAATTCCGTTAACAAAAACGGGAATATCCATGCCTTCAATGTCTTTCCAAGTGCCTTAAAATACTCTCGGATCTCTTCTGGCCGCCCAGCTATATCTGTACATCCGCTCCTCAGAATGTGTTCAAATGGTATCTACAGCTGTCTTGGCGAACAGCTTATTTCTTAACGTGGCCACTGCCTCCATGGCTACTCCCTACTTGAACCATCTCTATTCGACAACCAGGCAGTCAAGGAGAGTTTGGGAGCGGTCCGCTGGTCGCAAGTTTCTCAGTCCTCTCGGGTCCGCGATGTATTAAGCGTCGGAGAATGTTCCAGAGTTTGTTTCCTGCCCACTTCTTTCCTTGTTCACTTTGACCAAACATTCACTTGGCTTTATTTGCCTTTCTTATCAGTCACTTTTACCAAACATTTCACTTTACGTTCATCGTCGCTTCGAATCCTATCCCCACAGAAGCAAATACAAACCCTCAGTTCCCTCACTGCTGGAAAGAGAGAGGCTCTATACAGCTGGGCAAACTACCAAGACCTTGGGGACCGACCCCTATCACTCAACTGCTATGGCAGAGCAGTCCCTACCTGCAGTCCCCGGAACGATATTGCCTGTGAATCTGATGTGGCCTCATCATCATCACCTTCTGACCGAGCACGGAAAAGAATCAGTCAGCCTCTCCTCGAAGATGGCTGAAGTCTCGGTTGGATACGTCGGCTCAGCCGCATCCGATTTTCTCGCAGCGAAGATCGAGCAACTTGAAAACGAGATGTCTTACATCGCTACCCTCAAAGCTACGCTGGATGACGCCCATGCAGCCAAACGCCTCTCAGACGCGGAGCACAGGAAAAAAATAGCGCCATACACCGCTCGCATGCGGTCAGCACAGATGACACTTCGCGTGCTGAAGCGACAGTGACATGTGCTTGAGGAAGACTTGCCAAGTACACAGTACACTAAGCACTGAGTACGGAGTACACTGAATACATGGAATAAACTCACCATGCCCTCGCCTCTGGCGGTGACATTTGTCCAGGCAACGACTCTCAACGCCATCGCCAATGTCATCGCCTAACTAATTGACCAGCGCAACAACAAAGTACGTACTCCGAACAAAAACAAAACAACACCACTAACCACCCCCAGGGTCCCTTCACTCTAAATGGACTTGCACTGATTTCATTTCTCATCTATGGCCTAATCATAGTGCCACCTAATTCCCAGAGACAGTTGAGGCCGAAAAACATACCGACAGACATTATGAACATTGCGACGGCGGACTGCTCCTGGAAAGGGCATCCAGCGACATGGTCCTGACGCGACTCGTGAAGGCGGAAAGGGTCCGGATGTTTGGACACCTTGAACAGTCCATAGACAAGGGAGAAGTGGAAAGATACACTCCACTGTTAGCGAATGCAAAGAGAAGGTATGGTGCCATGTACTGGGGATGTTCATTTCCAAGGGGTTCATCAAAGCATGGCACATCATTCCTGACAAGTTGGACCAGGAACAACTTGCACACTTGTTCGGCGACGAAAGATTGGGAACCCACAATCCTCGAAATGGTAAGACTTTGATGTCCAGCCTGAATGAGCCGTTGACTGACTCTTTCTTCTCTCTAGCCCTCTGTTTACACCGCAAAGTTGAGAGTCTTCGCAACCGGGCACACATAGCGATCGTCCCAGTGCCGGGGGTGATGAAGACCCCAACCGACTAGAGATGCATCGTCTTGGACGAGTCTTTGAACATGGATGTCGTCTATAGGGGAGATTCCAGGCCAGTACAGGAGCTGTTGACAATCCGCGTGAAGGTACAGTGTGCCAGCCATATGTATATACTCTGGTGGTTCACTAAAATATTGACAGGATCTTGAGAACCGCCCGCTGAGGTTTTTGTCAACCAACCGTCCTCTCCGTCGATATCTTCACATCCGCTTCCTGATACTTTATATGTGGTGGAAGATAAAGTCTGTGCCCAACCTATGTCAAAAAGTTGGACCAGGGGAATTCTGGCCATCTGCAGGGATGTGTTTCGAGAGAGTAACCCTGAAGACACTTGCCCGTTGCAAAAGCTGGGATTAAAGGCAACGGCTAAACTCAGTGTTCAATTCTGTCTTCTTTGGGTAAGCATACTTCCGTTTGGTACAAGAATGATTGGCTAACACATCACAGTTCACTGTAAGTCTAATGCTTGTGGAAAAACGATGGTTTCCACAGTCAACGTGTTCTCCGGAGAATTTCACGGCCCAGAATACATTCGATGATCCCACCAATCCGGCAGATAACGTTCCCACTGGCATGGCAATGGCAGCTGACCTCCTGGGCATTCCCAATAGGGAAACTGGAGAGGACTCGGAATGAGATGACAGACATGAAATCGTCTGCTGCGGTTTGCCACCCACTTCCGCCTGACGTCTAGTATGCACAGATATATAATTGAAATCATCATAAGATGAGTCAAGGCCATGGAGTACTTCAAGTTGGGAACCCATGTGTTGTCAATGTGTCACTTCTATATCCCAATAATGGAATCCCCAACCACGTTTCACAGTGCTGTGCATGTGTTACTTAGTACTTTGCCACCTGGTAAAGATGCATCGATTTGCTAGCTTCGTCCGGAGTACTGCGGGCATGTTCAGATCCGTTCTGCTCCACTTCACTCCAGGTTGAGCCTCCGTCATTTTATATTGGGGTCATAATTGCATATTCCAAAATTTGGAAGAATCCCATGATCAAGCCAAGCACTCGATTCAAACATAGTCAAGCACATGAGGAGATACATTTCCAGAAACCAGCTTGGAAGGTACAAATGGGTCTGTCTGCCCAGCCAAGAGATTCTACGTGGACATGACCGAATCGGAAACCCTGTTTCTGAAGTGACACTGGCTTAAACTGGACCAGGGATCCCCCAAAATTCCAGAATGACAGGTAGTAAGGTTGACAAAGCAAAAGAAAAAAAGAAAAACATGCTGATCTTCCGCTGGCCACGTATACTAGAGTCTCGAAAAAGCCCACAGCCACCGAATTTTGATTTTGCCGGTTTTAATCCAGACAGATTCCAATCTTGACGCTGTGGACAGAGGATCTTCTATTCAATTGGCACTTGCATTTGCACCTATGTTCCTGTCGCCATGTCTAAGGAATCAGATGTCACATATGGAGGCAGAGGGCCTACGGTTCTTGGGATCACCTGGTCGGAAACAGGGTTGGCAACCATCTTAATTCTCCTTCGAACCAAGAACGCATCAATACGTCCCCCTCGGCCCAACTCCGTGATCGGCTTCTCGGGGATCTATAGGTTACGATGGGATTTTGTGTGGGTTATCGTCGCATACGTACGTGATGGTGAACATCTGAGTATTCTTTCCTGCATCCAAAGTTACCAAGTCTCCCTTACATGGATGACCTTCTAAGCTTGGGTTGAACCCTTTACTGACAAAACTTGCCTATCCAGATTTTGGCTCTCGCATCCCAAGTAGCTCTCACAGTGAGCGTCTACTACGGACTTGGCAATCACCAGAGTTTGATATCGCACGATAACCTCGTCCAGTTACATATCTGGAGCTGGGCCGCTCAAGTGATGTCGATCCTAGATCTCATTTTCTCGCGTATCGCAGTCGCGTCATTCCTTCTCCTCATCCAAGAAGGAACAAGACACTGGAGCAGGTATCTGCTTTGGCTAATAGGATTCGCGCAGCCAATCATCTATATCGTCTCTACCGGGCTAATATTTAACCAATGCACCCCAGTTGCGAGTCTGTGGGATTTTACTATTCCTGGAGCAAAATGCGATGGCGTCCAGGCGAGTGCGAAAAGCGGATACGCTGAAAGTGGTAGGTAGGAATGTGCAATACTCTTCGTCAGACCCTGCCTCTGTACCAGATAAATCCAAGCTTCGATTTCCCAAGCGCATTCTCCAATCGCCTTCACAGCCCATGGTGACCAAACCAATAACTAATCTATGGTTAATCGCGAGGTCCAGCCATCGGGGCATTCTGCGACTTCTTTCTAGCAGCCTATCCTATATTTCTCATCCACAAACTCCAAAATATGAAGCGATCTACCAAGATTGGAGTTTGTCTTGTCATGGGAGGTGGTGTGATGTAAGTCCTATTCATTGTGTTTGATCCCGAGTCACGGAGGCACATCGTGTCTAGGAATCTCGAGCCCTGGAGTACATGTCTGAAGTTGAACCATAACTCATCAATATCACATATAGAGCCGGTATTGCCGCAATCACCAAAGGAATCGAGATACGAAAAAACATCGACAACTTCCAAGATACAACATACCCAACGGGAAAAATGATTATATGCGTATTTACGGAGATGTGGTTCGTTATAATCTTCGGCTCGATACCCACTCTTCGTAAAGTCTTTGCGCAGTTCTCGCAGGATATCACCAATGCATTATCGCATTGGAAAATGGAGCGGCGGGCTCGGGACAATCGTTTGGAGGATTGGGCCTCAGTTGGGTGAGATTTCGGGGTCTGGGGAGGGGATCGATTGTCTTGGTTCTGGAAGGTCTGCGTCTACGCCTAGTTTTGATGAAAATCCTCATATTGGTTTGCACGGGTCACAGTAGTCAGATGTTGAGGTGGGAGGGGAGAGGGGGATCCACTCCGATACAGAAAAAAGTGCATGTTTGGATTCCTCAAGCAGAAGGAGTTTAACAAGGAGGCCTCTCTGACAGCCCTGGAGCATAGTACTTTTCTCAAAGTTGTCAACCTTTTAAACTTGAGAAGATACAGGGCTTTGAAGCTGAGACCTTGGAAGCTAGGTTGAAGAGAGACTTCAGGACTTCAGGATAGACTTAGGTCCAGGAACAGTCAGGTGACACTACTTAAGTGCAGCATATCCCCGGGGCCATGGATATTCCACGGACCGGCAATTTCGTAAACCAACCTTGGAAGCATATCCTTCGTCTCGCCTGTGGACTTGACTAGGGTCGCCTTTCAACTATGGAAGCAGGCTTGATCTATAAATAGATCCTGATATTCACCAGATAACCAACTGAGCTACAAAACCAGTTCAAAGGAACATACTGTGGTGTTTCAATCGATGTCTTGATAGGATTTGAGATTTCTCGTCTTCTTCCTTCATCTGCTGTCGTCCCACTCACTAAGTATTCGAGATACTGCCTTGAATGAAACAGGCTTCGTTAAAAACACGCTCACTCCAGCCTCCATAGCCTTGGACTGATGACTTGGACCAGTGAGACCAGTAAAGGCAATGATTTGGGCATGCTTGCTCGCAGAACGTCCATTTTCGATAGCACGAATAGCACGCGTTGCTTCAAAGCCATCCATTATGGGCATTGACATGTCCATGAAAATGATATCATAGCCTCCTGGCATTGCCTCGGCCATATTGACGGCCGTTTGTCCATCTTCTGCCTTGTCCAGGTGTGTAATTTTTCGCTTTTGGAGATAGGTGGACAGTAGGCTGAGATTGATTTTGTTGTCGTCCACTATCAAAATTCGGGGTCGTCTTGGTTCTGTGTTCGTTATGGCGATTGCGGGTTGATGGCTGGGGGATGTAGAGGATGATATGTCTTTGCTGACGGAAGCTTCCACAGATTTGACCGCAGAGGGAACATCTGGGTTAAGCTTGGATTCGGCAGCGTCTTGCTCCACTTGGAGGACTCGCTCTGTATGCTTGGGCCGATGCGGCAAAATGAAGTCTGCAGGGTTATTCGTGGGATTTGATGAGGTCTGGCTCGACTCTAGACAACAGAAGATACCTCTGGCAAGTTTCTGGGGTCCGCAGGGTCCATTTATAAACGCCAAAGAACTGGCGAGATGTGACCATTGCACACGGGGGTCATTTTGACTCGGATGATGCGAGAATATGAGCAGGCTTGAGAAGCTGATGGGCGGAATTTGTGATCTTTCTGTAGGGAGGTCGTCTTCAGATGCAAAAACAATGTCTATATCCTTGTCGGAACAAGGAACAAGCTGCAAGCCATACCAATCCGAGGCGTAGCGAGCGATCGTGGACCAGAAAGGATGCTCATCCAAATGAGCATAATCAATTGCCCAGATTGCCGCACGCTTCCCCCTCAGGCTCGGCTTGTCTAGTTTGGAAGATGGTGTCGCTTGGACTTTCTCGAAACTTTCATCCTGAAGTGTTGAGTGAGGGGTTTGTTCTCCGACAGGGCGCTCGAAAGGAAGCAGGACTTTCACGGTAGTTCCCTCTCCAACCACGCTACGGATACTAATCTTTCCATTGAGCGCAGTCACAATTCCTCGGACAATGGACAAGCCAAGCCCAGTGCCAACGGAGAGTGAATTCTCCTGTGCGAATGGGGTGTAGAGGCGCTTTTGAAGGTATTCTCTTGAGATTCCCTTGCCTGTGTCTGACACGGTCAATGTCACCATGTCCTGAAGGCCCTGGCGCCGAGATCGGGATTTGGACATTTCGGTAGATTTGAGGCTCACACAAATCGAGCCTTTCTCAGTGTACTTGAGCGAGTTTCCAAGAAGATTCATGATGAGACGTCGCAATGACCCGGGTTGGACTTGGTACATCCAATCGTTGCTGGCTATATCGACCACCAACTCAACTTCCGGGTCTGTGGCAATACCTTTAGCCTCCTTGGTTGAATGCGAGTTTGCATCGGGTCGAACACCCGCAGGATGGTCGGTTGGAGCGGATGACCTTTTCATGTGGAAATGACCCAGAGCCACGCTGTCCACAACATCCTCAGTCAATATAGCCACATCTGTGGAAACAAGCGTGTCAAGGCCTGGTGCATCGTCGTTGCTCTTTGGTTTCCATGGATCTTTCCCCTTCTTGAACCTCCTCTTCGATCTTTCAAGTGACATGATCTTGCTATAATCCAGCACTTGGTTCATTGTATCCAGAAGAGTTCGACCACAAGCGTTGATAGTCTCAACAACATTGCTTTGAAATAGATCTAAATCGGTGTTTTCCAAGAACTCAGCGGCAGCCAGAACACCATGCAACGGGCTTCGCAGCTCGTGGGAGATGCTACTGATAAAGTCTCCTTTTTGGCGATCCGCGATTACAGATTCCACGCGACTATATTCAGTCATGATAGATGAAGCGAAAGAAAATATCGAGCTGAGATCGACAGCTCGACTGAAAACTCGTGTCGGATGAGGAGTCCAGCAAAAACATCCCGCGAACCATTGTGAGTCGGTACCATTCCACAATGGGACAAACACAACCTGACAGGCATCCGGGAAGTAGGCATTCAAGCTCGCAGTCTCCGAGGCTTTAAATCGCTTGCTTTGTTTGCGAGATAAATCAACTGAAAGATCCTCATCCGCAGTGGAGAGTGTTCCATCATGGTGGAATGACCAGAGTCTTCCTTTGGGATAACGACGCGTCAAATGATTGAGAAAGCCGTGGTCCAGGTCGACGGCTGGATTTGCCTCGGGGGAGACCGTTCTACTTGAAAGTGGGTCGTCCCTGGTTGAAAGTGCCAGAATGGGTGCTGGGCTCTTGAGCCCATCGAAGCCTGGAGGGTTATCTGTGAAGTTCTCTGACGAGTCTTCACTGGTCCCCATGAACATCACACCACCGGCACCGTCTAGATCCAGGCTCTGCCGTATGAGGTTTGCGGCGCGTTGAAAAAGCCAGTGCTTGCTGCTCGAAGAGACTGTCGATGTATGGTCACTCTGTCGTTGACTGTGCGATGATGACGCCGGCCTTCCTGGCACACTCATCTCCGACCTGCCATTCGAAAGCGCACTGGGAGGTCGATAATCGCCGTGTTTCAAGGAAGCACTATTCTCCTCCAGCCAGTTATCACATTTGTCACTGTCAGTATCTCGAGGGCTCGCTGGACGGCTTGTCCGCTGGTAGGGTGGTGACCCCGAGCGCGAACTGTCAGAACTAGTACATGACGAAGATGATTTGGGAGCCATGTCGGCGAAGCTCGAATTGCCGTCCACGAAGAGATGGAGCCCATGCGATAATCTTAAAGCACGCCGTCCCTCGGTCGCCTGTCGGCTCACCTGCAGATAGTCCATGATGAGCGTTGCAACCGTGGACAATGCATCCTTCTCATAAAGTGAGAGGCCATCGCGTGGTTCGGAATCCAGAACAAAAAGACATCCCAAGTTGATATCACTGCCGCTGGTGAGGGGTACTCCAGCATAGAAGCGCGACCGTGGCTCTCCGGTCACGAAGGGCAGCTCCCTGAAGCGCTCCTCTTTTTCAAGGTCGTTGATTATAAAAAATGGATGGTTACCATCTTGCTGATCTGGACTGGGCGTTATTGTTTCCTGGGATGAAAGTGAGATTAGGTGACAGTTCTTGAGCAAACATAGGTGACAGGGATTTGAGGTGATGGTAGAATTCGGCGTTGAAGCACTCAGGGCTTCCAGGACAAGAGTAAAGAAGGCGAAAAAAAAAGAAGGAACAAAGAACACACCTGGCAGATGTTCCATGATTTGGTTAAAGTGGAAGTTCCCACGAAAAGTCCATCGCCTTCTGCCGACAGCTTGGAGTTACCAATATTGGTGGTTTTGGTTGCTTCAGCCAATACAAACTGGAAGTCATGATTCAGAATACTGGAGAGGTCAACTCTATTTGGGCTCTAAGGAAATGAATAAAAGTACGTAATGAAGGCACGTTGTGCATTCAACCGAAGAGCGGCAAGCTGTGCAAAAGAGGTCAAAGTCGTATTAGGGCTGCTTTGAGTGCGTGAATGAATCTGTGTCGTCTCGGAGTCTGAGTCTTCTGCAGCAGAAAATGAAGTCCTCAAGGAATCCACGGACGAGAAATGTTCTTCGGGCAGAGGCCACTGGGTGTTTAAAGCAGCTGGATTCGCGGGTTGGAAGTAACGATAGACTTCACGAGCTTGACGGTCTTCCTCGTACGCACGAAGAATGTCATCTTTGGACTTGTTCATCCTGCAAACCAAGAAGAGGGGGGAGTTCTGATCCAAGCTATGTCCAGGAAAGATAAAGTGTACGATGCAAGCGTAAAGTAGCGCGGGCTAAGACACCCAACATGAAACACCTGAGCTACCAGCCACGTACATCATCCTGAATTCGCTCCACATTTCACCCACTTTCTCCACAATCGGGATGTTGTTTTGATGTCGGATTCAAGCCAAAAATCCTTCAGATACTTCATGTATCGCATAGATTAGCTTAGTATCAATGAGAAGTCCCCTTCGAGTAGAATTTCGAGTGTTCCTTTGCCGAAAACAGTTGCTCAACGACTTTGCTCCTACAAAATTTGCTGTGACACATCTGATTGGTGTGTAAGTGATCCGGCCACTCGCATTGGGCTTAAGCTCTGCGGCTCGTGCCCCATACTCCGTACTTTTGCCGGGGGTGATGCAGTTGATCCGATAAATGTCTTTTCTTTGAGGAATATCCACAGTCACCTCCTCCCGCAATGCTTTCACAAGGGTTTGTTCTGTTTCAAGTCAAAGCTCACCTGAAATTCTAAAGTTCGCGTGACGCGTGATGGCGGTGAAACAGGCGGTGAAAACTTCACGCGCAGAATCCTAAAATCAGCAGGCTTTGCTACAAAGATCAATATTCGACAGTCCCCAAATATCACATTCAAACGACTTCGAGAATGTCAAGCGCCATGAGGGACTCCGCCTTCCAGGACTCGCAATGGGACCTAGGATATCTGGGACTTCACTGCCACGGTGTCGCCCCTTGAGGGGCTGAAAAGTTACAATTCGAGTTCGACTGGCGAGACCACTAAATGCAAGGATATCTGGTCTTTTGCTTCCTTTTCATCTCATTTCAGATAGGATGACGGGGTACTTGCCACAAACCCTTGCATAATGATCACTGAAATGTCCACCAAGATCATACCTTAGCCCCTTGGCATTCATTCTCTGGACTGGGTATACTCAGGCACCAATCAGGCATCAGCTGTCAGATTAGGGGGCCAGGACGGAGTGGGGTTCATCCGCTTGGACGGGGTAATTTTCAGCCTCGAAATCAGATGCTCCGCTCTTTGTGTCTTTTGAAATTGTTTGGCAGGCTGTCAGAGGTCCCGGGTAGCGTGACTCGTGAAGGCTTCTGTTATTTGCGCTCTTCCATCCCTATACCCTTATTCCCTCTACTAGAAGATGGCACAAATCGTACCGGACTGGCTGAGGATGTACATAACCAGACACATATATCTCTATGCCAAAGACTGACTGGTTCCTACTCAGAATCCTCTCACTCCTAAGCGGGGCTTCCTTCCTACCTCAGATGCACCGCATCTGGGTGCATGGAAACAGCCATGGAATCTCGCTCGGTTACTTGCTGATCAACCTCATCAGCGCAACGGAGCAGTTTACGGTCGGATTTTATTACGTGTCGTTCCCCCAAAAGAATGAGATATTCATCGGATCGCCATTGAGGACAGGCGACTGGCTGAATCTGGCCCAGCTGGCCCTGGTTTGGGTCTTGCATCTCCTCCTGTAAGTATTCCCGACCACTATGTCAAAGCATTGAATATTGAACTCTAAAAATCTCAGCTTCTCTCTGTGTCTATGGTTTCCGTCCGACAACTGCAAGTCTTCCAAGTTTTGGATGTTGGCAACTTACATACTCTTTGCTCTCATTTCCATCATACCGCTGTTCCTTCACACCATCAATCAGGATGTCCTTCCTTTCAACCCAAAACATGACTGGCAACATAACTGGCAAGCGATAATGTTCGGTTTTCTCCACCTACTGTTTATCAACCCTATCATTCAGATTTTGGCCTTCGTTGCGCTCCCCTACCAAGTGCGTGCTATCCATGCCCTTCCACCTGGCGACTTGAAATCCATCAGCCTCCAAGGGCTCCTGGCCCAGGGTCTCGTATTCGGTGGGCTAGCAATCTCGTGGATTTTCCGGGTGGAATATACATTTCGCCAGGGATTCGTTCAGATCCTCGACTGGTACCATAATGTCGGATGGGCCGCTGTGGGCAACGCAGTGTTTGCGATCGTGCAACTAGTGTTGTTCATTTTGGCGAATAGGAGGCTGGTGAAGACGCCGGCGCATGATGGGGAGACAGAACCTCTACTGCAGGCCCTCGATGTGACGGTCTGACCAAGGCCTCAGGAAGTGACTAGTCCCTAAAGTGAAACTGTGACTGGTCTGATTTCTCCGCATTTTTGATTCTGAAGGTTAACTGATCTATGAGTGAGGAGGGTGGGGAAGATAGGCATATATATACACTGTAGGCCCATCACCCCAGGGCCCCCTTCCTTCTTCATCTTTGGACTCTTCGTCACAGGTCCCATAAGAGATTTTACTCATTTTGATATTTTTATTGCTTCTTACACCAGAGTGAGGATTTGGTTAACGAAGGTGTATATGTCCCGATATCAAACTGCATAATGTTGTGTATGGGGCTCGTCCAACCCTTTAAATAGATCCCTCTCTCGATCTCTCTTCTTCCTTCTTCTCTCTCTCTCTCCACATCCCAGAATCGGTTTGTTCCAATCGCTCTTTTACCTTTCTCGTGGGTTAAAAGACATCACAGTCCCAGGGCACTGCGGAATCCCGGGGAATGAGGCAGCACACAACATGTCCCGAAAGTATCAACGAGACTGTTCCAGCATAACAACAAGCTGCTGGCCTACCCACTAGATGGAAGAATCTGTTGGATCCCACAGGTGGAAAGGGAAGCGGACAGAACGATTCCATCCATTTCTCTCTAAAGAGAGAGCGATGAAGGGTTCTGACTATGGGGTTGAGGCGAACTCCATGTACCAGACAAGGTGTCCATGTCGAGATCCACTACAGCCCCGGTCACTGCGGGATCCCGGGGAACGAGGCGGCACACAGCATTTTCCGATCCTACCAACGAGTGTTTTCTAACACAACGACTATATGCTGGCCTACTCAACAGACGGGAGAAACATAAAAGCGGAAGTCCCTACCCTCGGTCCCCATCCTCAGAGTCAGCCACCTCACGCTGACTTCGCATTCGTTTTGTTTTCACTTGGCGTTGAGCTCCCCTACTATGCTACGTCCGCCATGACAGCTCCTCCACTCACCGGAGACTGAGGCAATCTCGTTGCAGGGTGCATCACCTAACATTGAGTCTTGCATTTACATTATACGCAACAATATTGCTCAGCGGACTCCACCGTGCAGATGTACAAACGAGTTCATGGCGCTGCTGGTGGAAATTGCTCAAAAAACACGACCGTTCCGGAGGCCCCTGTCGACCTCAGCTGATATGCCCTCACCCTCCAACCCAGTTTCCTTGATATATATTGCTTTTCCCCCATTGCGAATTTTCCAAGATGAAAGTGAAAAGTGAAGGTGAGTCAAAGATATGTTAAAGCGGACTAGGCGAGATATTTGGCTAGCCCAGCTGCTAACAGAGCCCAACGGAATTACATATTACGTGACAGGGCGATATGCCAAATTTCACACGATCTCGAGCTGGAGCGAAAACCAAGCCCCAATATTTGATGGTCAAGATAGGCAGCGGATTCAGCGCTTTGCCAATCTTGAACGCCCCCCTGACACGATGATGCGGGAAAACTAGGGCTTTTTTTTTTTCAAATGCGACAGGCACCCCCGATCGGTCGACAGGTGCCATCGTCCACTGCCGCCGACCAATCTGAAAGAGCGCCAACAACGAAGTAAGTCATCTAAGCACCCGTGATGGTTGTTCTTCTGTTGTTTGCTCTGGTCTTCCTATCCTCTTGGTTCAACCTATCTGACATCTTTTTTTTTGGGCCAACAGGGCGAGAGAAGAAGCGGACGGAAACCAATGACCCCCTGCTTAAGTCTTGGAAAGTGATATTGAGAAACAGATTGAAGAAGAGAGAGCTTCCTAGCTGCGGCTGTGGTGGACAACACCCAACGACACGTTTACTCACGAGGATGGAGACGTTACAACCTCATGCCCAGTACTCGAGTGAACAACTCCCCGCTCTACTCGACGCGCAACGCAATGAACTCGTCATTCGAAATCTTGATCCAAACTAATACCCCAAATCGAAGCTGATACTGAGACGAATCCTCACGTCAAGGACAGTGGGTAAGCAGTCATCTTTCGGCCAGCCCGCTCCATCTGAGTCTGCCTCGACCGGCCAGCCCAATGACGGTGCTGTACCCGAGGAGCGACCACTGACCAAGGCCGTTCCAACAATCCCCACAATCCATATCAAATTTTCGATTCTGGGCAATTGCTTTGGGACAATGTGGACTTGTTTATGAAAGCCAGGGCGTGATTTGGTCGTAAAGATTGCCAAGGACACTTACGAGAACGCTTTATGGAATGACCTTAACGGCCATCTTCGGGTGCAGGAAGATCTCAATCAGCCAGTGGACAAGCGGTTCGAATGCCGTATTCCACAAGTCTTCTCTTTCATTTCCTAGGGGAACTCAGGGTGGTGGGAAGATAATTGTACGTTATTACCACAGCCCATGAGTCAGTGGCACTTACCGCCATGGCTTTGGTTTCGGAAATAACACCTCTCCCCCCAAGATCGCCCGTGAGGTCTTGATCAATCGGGATTGCCCAGCAGCATCTCGCACTGTGGTCAGTGCCAACCCTGCAAGTCGTGACTGCTTCCTCCGGCTGTATATTGGCCGCCGACGTCTCACCGATGTTCCGGCCCCCAACCTCACACTGCGGAACTTCAACACCCACATCGATTAAATCATGGAGGTGGACTTTCCAATCGAAGAGCTAGCAAGCTCCAGTGGGGAAGCACTCGCTGTCCTCCATTGGCGTGCAAACACCGATGGCTACGATCTTGAGTTCGTTCTCGCGCTGCGTCTGAGCCCGCTCCGCCAGCTCCTCCTGGCGGCTCCACTGGAGCCCAAAATTTACCCTTGTTGGTAGAGCCGCCAATATCCAAACGTCTTGCAGAATTGAGGCTGGCCGACCGCATAGAAGCTGAGGTAGGTGCATCTTACACCAACTTTTCCATACCGTACTAAAGGTCACATCTTTCCAGAGCGAACGCACCCCGCCAAAGAGGCCCAAGCAGTGGGTGAACCAGAGCCCGGGCACTCCAATATTCTTACCAAGCTGGGAATGGCAGCAGATCAAGTGGGCAATATCTCAAATTACCGCCCTTCACGGATTTTGAATCGATGTTAAACGTCAGTTCCACCTGCCAAGCAAGCCGTCTATGGCTCATTGCGTTCAAACTCTGCTACAGTTGGCAAGAGTACACAATCAAAACCCACCCAGGGGCCCTGGTCGAGAAGCTCATTGAAGCATTCTTTGAGAATGACCCATACTATCATTTGCCGCTAATGAATACTAACCCCAACAATGGGCCGTGGGACATTTTCAGCTCTACCCACCTCAAAAAGCCCAGCCCAAGGGAGTACTTTAGTACTAGAATCTGCTGCTTTAGTACAGATACTGCGCGGTGACGACGATGAGAGCATGACTGATTTCAGCGACTTTACTGAAATGGAATCGCCGCCATCGCCTAGCGACTATCGTGAGGAAGACAGACGGCTCCAGGAATTCCTCCAGCAATTCATCGATGAGTGTGTTCATCGGGACATGGTGAGCTTGCAGAAAGGCCTTCCATACGGCCACCATGGGAGAAAAGAGTGCAATCTCCGGCTCCAACTGGGAGAGAAGGGCTGATGGAAGCGGGCGATTCTCTAGTCTTTTCACAGAGGAACGAGTAGAGAGAAATCTCTGGTCTCTTCGGGGAGTAACGAGACGAGAGAGGGCAAATGGGAGAGAATAGATGAGAAGGGGCGGGGGGAGGAGGGAGAGTGGAGGGGAAAAAGGAATGGGGGCGAAAATCCCGAGCTATCCAACTGAGATTGAGGCGATATACCCTGCACCCAAAAAGAAATGAACATGAAGCTTTGATTATGTAGTATTCATGGTCTGTTTTTGTTATTCAACCTTTGGAAGATCCTTCCCGTCTTGATCATCATCACAAGAAGTTCCGATCAATGATTTGCTGGATATACTTACTCCTCTACGAGTTCCTGATGACTCCGTACTACATCAGTGTTGGCTATCGGGATGATGGGTAATATTCTGAGTGAAACACATGGACAACAGCATGTTGGCTTACTTGGGTAACACAGAGCCTCCAATATACATAGTGCTGGAAGTATCTGCGAGATATAGAAAAATGCCGATGGGCGCATTGGAGCGATTCTGTATGACTTCAGAGCGCCTTTCAATGTAAGATTGCAAGGTTAGACTTGCCATTTGTCCCGGAATATCTCGGATCATTTCACCCTGTGTTGCGATACGTTGACTGCTTCCCCGCAAAGTGCTACCTAATATTCAAGTAAGAAAGGGGTGAGCCCGGTCCACCGAGCCGGAACTCCGTTTCGATTGGCTGAAGTCGTGAAAGGTAGCCTCATCTATAGATGTCAACTACCTTCAAGTACAACCCGGATTTTGAACATGGGTTCAGGAAAAAAAAAAGAAGCACAACGAGAGTGTACTATGTCATGGCGACATTGATCAGGACGCCTGATCGCCACCAGTTCTATAAGATATGGGTTTACTCACTGCCTACAGGCTTGATTTAACAGTGGTTGAAAATATTTTCAAATACAACTCATCAAAAGACATTCTTAACTTGGACAGAGATACCGTTTCTTCGATTTCAAGGCCAACAATAGTCCCGAAGTCCCCGGATACCAAATATTATACCATGCGTCTATTCGGTTTCATCTGTGCGGCGCTCATCGCCGGTGTGGCAATGTCTTCTCCAGTGGCGTCGAGTGGAGAGGGCCTGATAAATGAGCGTCAGCAAAAAGTAAAGTTTTTTTCTATTTGCTGATTCTATTCTCATGAGTGGTTCTTGCACGAATATGGGTCGTCTTGCTGACAGATGTGCCGTGGATAGTGTGTAAGTAATTCCCCTCCAGACTTTAGTGAAAACACAACGTGGACATATTATACTGAGAGATATGACTTGGATACTGTGTGAGTGACTTCCTTCTCGCTGAAAATCAACGATATAGGTGACTGATAGATGTGGCATCGTAAGGATGTGAGTAATGCTCTTCTCAACGAGCACGAAACTTCGAATCGTTTGATGAGCATAGGTGATTGACTTATATGGTCTGGGTAGTGTGTGAGTCGCTCTCTTTTTTTAAAACAAAGTTTCAAAACTACGTGAGAATAACTATCTGACAAAGATGGCTTGGATAGAGCGTCAGTTATCCCTCTCATGCGCGAAACTCGAATTGCTTTCAGTTGTAGATGACTGATGAAGATATCTTGGATAGGAAGTGAGTCAGTTTCTTTACATTGCAATCTGTAATTGCTTTGGAACTATAGACTTCAGTATCATTGATGTATCTAACGTGAGTAGGGCGTGAGTTTTTATCCCCTTTAGGTGGAATTCGGAGGTCGGCCATGCGATTATAGATAACTGATAGATATGGCGTGTCTAGAGCGTGAGTGATTTTTCTTTCAACTAGATTCGAACTACTTTGATGGATATGAAGACAAGTGACTGATACATCTGATAACTATAGTGGGTAAGAATTCCTTGTTAAACGGGGAGGAAATAGCTAATGCGACGATTCAACTTTAGAAGTGTGTGAGTAATTCCCCTTCAGAGATAGATGAGTGGTCTTGTCACCATGTGAATGTATACAACTGACAGGTATGGCGTGGATAGGGCGTGAGTCATTCCCATTGGATGAAAAATCCGACTCGTTCTATCAAGATAGGCAAATTCTAATGTACTATGGATACCTAGCATGTGAGTTAGTTCTTCAGATCAGGATTAGATGAGGGGAGTAGGGAGATATAACTGACAACTTCGGTGTGATAGGGCGTGAGTAACTCTCATTCTACTTAATATTTGAATGGCTCTATCAACATAGCCGACCAGCTAATCACGCGCGGATAGCCCGTGAGTTACCTCCATTTCAACTGAGAGTCAACAGGTTACCTACTATGAGTATCGATGACTAAAAAACACGGTGTGGATCGACAGTGTGTGAGTAGATCATCCTTGAGATCACCTTTGAATGCCTATTTGAGTTTGGATAACTGACGAACAGTAATGAATAGTGTGTTAGTTGCTCCCTTTCTCATACAAGTCGAACTTTCATATGGTGACTGAGGGCTAACAGATATGATTGTGGAAGTAAATGCGCACGAATATCTCCATGCAGGTTGCAGCTCAACCCTGATTGAAGCTAAGAAGGTATACTGATTGACTGATGATCGTGTTTGTTAATCCACCCATATCCAATAATCCATGAGATAGGCCTCTTACCTATTTGATTGGGTTAACTCTGTCAAGTGGACGATTGGCATGGACCTCACAATGGACATGGGCTTGCAAAGTCTTCATATGGGTTTTGTCCTATTTGTTAGGTTTCCCCATATCTTTGTGCAAATGCAGAGACTTCAGGACTACAAAATATCAAATCCAAATGCGCTTTTTCAAAGTTGCGAGTCAGAGCTTGGTACGATTCGTTAAACTTGGAGAGGATCTACCAAAGACCTTGAAAGATTGTTTCCGCCAGCTTTTTCTCGCCCATAGGTTGATTTCAGACTAGTTTATTTCGCCTTCAAGACAGTGTAAGAAACTTGGACTCCAAATCCTTACGTGTGAGAGCCTCGCCATTCATAAGATCCTGCATGTAGCATTCTCCAACAAGGACATATTCAGGATCGGATTTGAATGTAGCCTCCCCTGGCGGTGGTGGGTACTGCTTAGCTCTTGGTCGGATAACATGTGGTACGTCGGCGCCATCAAACACACAGATCAGGTCTCCCGGCCGGGCACAGTCTGGAACAAAGCCCAGTCGGCCCTCGGCAGTTAAACAGAAACGTCTGAATCGTACTTTCCTTAGGTGCATCAATACCAGTGATCTCGATCTGAATTCTGATTCAGTGAGCTGCTGGTCATTCTCAGGCATCTTGAGACTCCCCGGTGGCAGGAGATTCAAAATTAATTCATGTGATGGAAGATAGGGCAAACGCTGTCCAAGGCGGACCAAGTCTAGCAATTGCCCATATTCTTGAAACGCTTCACGGTCGTGGATATCGCTCACGAAGATTCGGTCTCTCAACATGGTCCGACAGAAGGCATCAAAACGCGCCGGTGAAAAGAAATCCGCACCTTGCAGGGCAATTGCTTTGCAGTTTTCCATCCATATAACTTCCGTCTGCATGAAAAAAGGACCCTTTACCGGACCGAATTTACTGATTGCCTGTCGGACTTCAGCAAAACTTTGACCCCAACTCTTGGTACCCAATTGCTGAACCATAGATCCCTGCAGTATGGGTAGCATATAACCCAGCCTCTTATACTGACAGGCCAATTCATAATACCACTCTAAGTCGCCCCAGTTGACTGCTAGCTCATTAACTTGATCAACGACTCTTCCTTTGATGAACAATAATCGAGGCTGTTTCGGCTTCCAAAGAATAGACGGTTTGAGGGCTGACCCCGCTTTGTATTGATTGATGTTGCCTGAAAACGTTTGATTCCATTCTAATCTCTCCTTCCGAGTCCAATCAGCGACCCAACTAGGGAAGTTGTGGGTCATACTCGTAGTTTCATGTCGGATAGGGAGACCAGAATGTGCCAGATAATTTAGGTCCTGTTTCTTAAGCAGGTTCCATCTTGCAAAACGGGAATAGACTTCCTCTACTGACGCTTCATAGTCAGGCAAGAGCTCCCAGTCTGAGCCATCGTGACCAGTAGAGATGCTGCGAAATGCGTAAATATGATCTCTCGGATTCGTTGCACCCCTTGCAGGGGAGTTAGAAACTACCATCTTGAGATATGGCTCTGGTCGATCTTTTCTAAGATTTCCGTTATGGTGAATTTCGGAAAGGTCCTTTTTGGGGGTTCGGCCAATGGAATTCTCGAAGGATTCCTTGATCGGCCCTTCAAAGTACTTTTTCCCCCGCTCGTAATCCACCTGGGATATGCTTTGATCCCCATGATGAATCGTTATTGCCGGTGCTTTTATCATCTCTTGTAGTGTCCATGCACGATGGAAATAAGAGTGATCGAACAATTCCGACGCCGAAGACCAGTCAAATCCAAAGATCTCCTTCGTGTCCGCCTGGCTGTGGCCTAGCCCAGAAGCCCCATGAGACTGTACTGAGTCTTTGGAAGCCTTTTTCAGAACTTTCAATACATCTGCCGTTTTGCTGGTGCCCTTTCCAAGCCAGATCAAGACTTGCTGGCTACTAGCGTAGATATCGCCCATAATCGTAACCTGTTGACCTAGCTCAGCTTGATCACACTGGTTGATGCATATTGCATCGACCCAAAGTATTCTTTCGCGATTCGGTCTCCTGAGCGCTTCCAGTGCATCGAAAAGCTCTTGTCTGATGGCCACTTGTTCACCATCGCACCGGATGTACCCCTTTTTACCGCGTTCACCCCAGGTATAAGACAAAGCTTCATACTCAGGGTCGGTCGAAAGGGAAACATGTTTTAATCGGCAGCTGATGGTGTCGCCGGCCTTTCCAGGCTCCAGCACCAACACGCGAATCTCGCGGGCACTTTCGATGGGCAAATATGGCGGCCCGAAACGCGCTTCAATAATTCCATGATAGTACTCAGTGATATGAGAGCCGTATTTATTGCTGAAATAGACAAGGCAAAAGATAATGAGGAACTTTTCATAATTTGAAAGGCCGGGGAATTTTGGATTGCGCGACACTCTGGGTGGGTCGCGCGGTGGCTTGGCTGGTCGCGACTTTTGAGCCGTCGCGTTAGGTCTGAAATGAATGGTGCCGCGTGTGGATACATTGCCATTCCATCGCACTCGACGGAAGATCGAAAACATCGTTTATTGCTCTGACTCCTCGAATAATACTTAGGGTTGGGATGATCGCCAGAGTTCAAAACAAAAATCAGGCAAGAAGAACAATTATTTGGGCAGCATCGCTTTTGTCTTCTGGATTTAAACTGTCGGGTAAGCGCTAGGTATACTAGTACGATTCAGAGACATGCACCGCCGCTACAGGTAGTAGCTGGGGCTATCTGTACCTTCCAGCTTTTCTGCTTACTGTGGCCCCATATGGCGCGTTGTCCATGAGACAGAACAAAATCCTTGCACGGTTTGAATATGTGTACGACTTACATCTCCATGGAACAGTGATTTTGGAAAGCAGTATATCTTCTTTGCTATGATATGAAACACTGACAAAACAAATCTCAAGAAGGAAGGGTGAGAGAGAGGGAGAAGAGGGATGTAGGGGTCAGAGCTGACACTGTTTTCTCAGGCATCGATGAAGCCTCAGGCATAAATGAAGCCTCGGGCATCAATCCGGCCTTGGCTCTGTGGGGTATCACGTGATAACACCTTCCCGATTAGGAAGTACAGAGGTCTATATCAGATACAAAAGTTCCTTATTTTCAGTGAGCTACTCCGGTAGCTCAGTGGATTAAGGCGTTCAGGATTTAAATACCGCGTACTCGCAAGCTCCCCTCTGTCAGGATCACCTGGGTTAACAGAGGGGGGGAGTTCGATCCAGCCCCCACACCTTTTTTTTTCTTTTTCTTTTTCTTTTTCTCTTTATTCGTCTTTCAACCTTAGAGATACTGTCATATCCTGCTTTGTAGCCGAGAGAAACATTTTATATCCATGGAGTAAAGGTCGGTGTATCAGGCATCAATCCTGATAGTAGACTGACTTCACACTTTTTCGGTCAGGGTTTGACGCGCCTTATAAAACGCCATGATAGGAAGTTTTTTCTGGTAAGTATGTGCATCTCCAGTGGCTCTGCTTCGAGAAAGATCCCGTCGAAGTGGTTTCGTATCAAGTAGCCCCGTATGGAGTACTCCGTTGCGCCCCACGCCATTACACATATTCATTTTTTTGGCAGTCTGGGCACCTTGTAAGTGGTTTAAAGGTATGGCCACCATTTCCAGTGAATATGATGCCCAAATTTTGACAATTTCATTCATGGTGGTGTGCATCAGCGGCTGCGTGAAACCTCATACGAGGATCCGACACATTTGAATCGGAAGATTGGTAGTTCTCTTATGGTCATTCTAACGCATTCCCAAAGCGCGGCATTCGCACCTCCAGGGCATTTTTTTGTCATGGCTTATCAGTCATTTCCTCGCGAATCGCACAGTACGCATTTTCCAACAGCCTCGGATCACTCCCTATCCCAGTCATGACTTGATTGAGGGTCTTTGTCAATGGCGTGCAAACTGCCTTCCTCCCACCCCGCGATAAACAAACATAGATATCCGGCCACCCACCTTGAGATGTCCCAACACTCCTCTTCACAAAGTCAACTCGTCTGTTAAAATTCAGAGACCCAAGCCCGAGAACGTTCTCCAAACTATCGAGCAACATCACATCAATCTCAAAGACAATCAAACCCGTACACATTCTGAGATACTCCCAGACCAACCCAAAGTCCATCCATGCGATTTCACAAACTTCATCGGGCATAAACGAGATGTACCGAATCCACTCGCGAATATGCTCTCTAACAACCGAAAGAAATCCAATCAATGTTCCATGGTTTTCGAATGCAAACACATTTTCTGTCCAGAAAATATATGACGCCTCGTGGTGGATCTGCCGACTGACGAGCAATAGATCCAGATTCTCACGTCTCGTACAAAGACACACAAGTGATCCAAGGGGCTGTGGCTCAATGCTTTGCATATTTTGACCATGGAAATCCCAATAGCAGGAATCGCAGAGGGAAGGGTCGAGCTTCGGCCGTGCGTATTTGGTCCGTGTAGAGCGAGGGTTCGAGCACTCGGTGCAGCCACTTGAGCTTGTTGAAGCTGGGACACAGGGGCGTGTGTGGAACATATTGAACTTATTTGGTTGGACTAAGAGCTGGCGGTAAATGTTCTCTCTTATCTCGAGGGGGAGGGTGAAGAATCTAGATGCTTTTAGCTTGGTCTTGGTGTCTAACTACTTCATTCGTCAGACTTGGATGAGATCTCGGGATGGTACCTGTCTATGAAACTTGTCTCTTTGGGTGGACTCAATCTGCTGAGTCGCCTGGCATCGTGGAAATTGTTTGATTCTTCCATTTTGTGCGTTTCGTTTGTTGCGGAGTTGAGCGACCGGGTGTTTCCTGGAAATTTGACTGTCATGGAAATGTCTTCATTCTTCATCATTCTTTCTCCAGGGTGAAAACTGTTGCCTCATGTGCGGGGTTCCAATCTTCACTTGAGGCTCTTAATGTCGCAGCCTTGAGGGCTAGGGGCGGAGGGCGGAGGATCGTGGAATCAGGTGATACCTGATCTGTATCTCTAGTCCTCCTTCGCTTTCTTTCGAGTTCTCGTCAGTTGGTTATACCTCGCCGCATCAACACACATTGTGACCTCCCCGGGATCGTACGCGTACGCGTTTAGGCCCCAGGGCCCCACCGCCACTCAACGAGCCGCACCCTAAGTGACACGCGGGCCACACCCCACATTTAGCCTCGCCGTTCCGCCAGGCCTTCCCGAACCGCATCAATATAACTACCGCAAGGCGGAAAGAGACGCCAGATGCCCATTTGCACATTTCACCAAGTCCATTTTGCTGGATATGTTGTCGGTATGGAGTACACCAATCCCTGACTCGCAATGTGAATCAACATCAACCTTCTTTTTTCGAACTCTACGACAAGACAACGCTTAGGCGAGGCCACAGCACGTCTCCGGTGGCCAGGCCGGTGTTGAATCAGCAAAGAAAATGGATTTTTTTTCACCCTTTCGTCAGAAAGAGGTGTCAAAATCTGCGAGGCCAGTGTCGAATTCTGAAGAAGTGAAGACTTGTCGCGCGATTTGAACATCCCATCACATTCTTCTACGGGTGCTTTTGCCGCATCAGACACAGAAAGTGTCTATCCTCGCGACATAGAGGCTCATACGGGGGGTATACCCTGGACGTTCGATTTCTTCAGGCTCAACTGGTCAACTGGCGCGTTTCGACAAATCGCTGACTCACCGCCCGTCAAGGCTTCATTGGCATATGAAACTTCAGAATTTTCAAATTTTCACTCATGGGCTGACATCCGCCATGATAGGGATCTGCATGATCAGTTACTCGTCATATTCGGGGCACCAGTCATTGCATCAATTGATGTCCACGGCATCTGGGGCACTCAAATGTTGAATCGACCCCACTGACTCAGCAGCACGGAACTCCGAGCTCAGCGCCACCTTCGCTTATTTTTACAAACGGGCACCCCGCATGCCGAAGGCAGCCCTCTCTGCTTGTAGTGAGCCAGGAACTCCAAATTACAGCATAGAATGGAAGCATCTATTGATTCAAAACGAGAGTGTACGCTGTGCGGTGTCCAATTCAACCACCGTAAGTCTCTAGGTTCATCATTCTATTTGCCTTTGGTCCGTCAGAATCATATTGCAATTGCGGCTGACACATGCACAGGATCATCACTTATCCGGCATGTGAAGAACAACTGCAATAAAAATCAATCACAGCGGCGCAAATCATGTAACCAATGCATCGCCAATAAGTCAAAGTGTAACCTAAAACGTCCCGCGTGCTCAAGATGCTCTCTGCGCAACGTTTCATGTGCATACGATAGCCCTGGGGAGGAGCAGCCTGAGCATGCATCGCCCGGAATTGCGAGTCCTTCCCAAGTCTTTGCGTTCGAAAATATGCCAACTTTTCAACCACTGAATATATCGACGAAATTCGATACGACTTTATTTGATCCTTTTTTTACCGACTTTGCACCCTGGTCCCCGTCACAGTTATTGGAGCTTGCTCCGCAGGCTCCACATAATATGGGACTTGAGCTACTCCCTTTCAACGATTCTGTCAGCTGCACCAACTCCATGCTTACCGAATCTGGATCAAATCAACGGCTTGGACCGAGTGCCGATTCGAACTCCATTGCTTTAGCAAACCATAGCATGGAGCTTATATTCCGAATTTTTCGAACATGGCCCCAGATGTTGGCTGATGGCTTTCAAATTCCGCCCATATTTCACTCCACACATCTCGCTTCACAGACAAAGCTGCCGCAGTCCCTAGCAACATGCATCACTTTGGCCAAAATGTGGCATGGTCATTGCCCAGGCGCTGAAGAAGTTGTGCGTGTCACGATACGCAAGGAGCTTGATCTGGTCATAGACAAGGTGAGTTCTCTATTGGCTATCAACCCTCATAGACTTGACTAAAGCGAAAATGCCACCCAGTGCGACAAGTCGGATGAAACAACACTTCTAGCGAGTTTACAGTCAGTGGTGATCTACACCATCATCCTACTTGCACCCTCGGCGGGCTCAGAAAACAATCCCATAGGTGAGGAAGACGTTTTTCGAAAAGTTGAAATCTTTGTTTTGCACATCGTCCGCAGTGGTCTGTTCCTTGCAGAGGAACGAGCACAGACAAGACCATCTTGGGAGTCCTGGGTGTATATGACTGCGAAGCGACGCGCCATTCTCTCTTTGTATCTCCTCCACTGGGCATATTCTGTTCTCCACAAGGTGCCGTGCTTCGATTGCAAAGATCTCGGCTTCATGCCCGCCCCGGCACCAAAGGTTCTTTGGCAGGCACACACTGAACAGGAATGGAACAACAAATACATTCACTGGCTTGCGCGATGGAGCGGTCATATTTATCTTCAGGCTGAGTTTGGTCATATCCCACCCGGTGCAACTTTGTGTCCCAGGGCAGAGAAGTGGCTGGGGGAGGCAGATGAATTCGGTTTTATCATGGTCTCAATTCGTAAGTTATTACAAGCACTGAAGGCCGAATGGCGATTACTGACACATGCGAAGTCAACGCTACAGAATTCGAACCTCCTGGTTATAAAGGGTCTAAAGAGACTTCTGTTGCCTAAGCCCGTTCTCTCTTCGGGATTGAGCCATGAACCAAGCTCAGCAGATAATATGGCGTATGTTGACTTCTTTTTTTAGATCTGGTTAATGTAATGGCTTCCCATCATAGCCTTACATGCTCAAACTACCTCCAGCTGATCTGTTTCATAGTACCAAGTGAGATTTAAAACAGGTGAATACCAACTAATTTTCTGATATTCTTGAATTCATATTATGATATATGGAACTCAAGTCTAGAGAACTGAATTTTTGCAATCTTGAATTCCACAAAAACCACTCAAAAAACCACTCAAAAAACCACTCAAAAAACCACTCAAAAAACCACTCAAAAAACCACTCAAAAGACTTCTTAAAAGATTCCTCAAAAGACCTCTCAAAAGACTCCTCAAGGGGCCATTTCACTGAGACCAACATTCTGGAAACATATGTGACGACACTTTAGGCCTTCAAGCTATCAGCCCATTCATTCAAATCGATGCTGAACATCGACACATCACCTCGGGGAACACCCATCATAGTGGTCAGGCGGTATGAGATCTTCCACTTCACGCTGTCTTGCTCGACAACCTTCACAAGCTTGTCAAAATATCTGGCTTCCGCGAGGAAAGACTTGTCGCCCAAGAAATGACCAGCCGCGCAGTAGGTTGTAGCTTCTGCGGTATCGTCGCCAGTGAGGTGGATGGTTTGGGTCGTCAGGCCGTGAAATGTGCTGATGTGCCCAATCGCGTTGGACAAGCCCTCAATGACAGCGTCTGCCCCCTCCATTAGACCAAGTGACCCAGTGTAATCGGCGACAACATGTTCCGTCAGGAAATTGCGCAGGTCTTCGAATTTTTTGACATCGAATGAGATGGCGACGCTGGCAATGGTGTTCCGAATGAGCTCGTGGTCGGATGTAGTTCCTGCCATTGCGTTTTTGGCCCGAAGATGATGGTATGAGATGCTCAAGTGACGTTGAAATGAACTCTAGGATAAAGTAATGAAGAGCTCCGGAGCTGTGATTCTCGGTGTTGAAAAATATTTGAAAAATGACCGAAATATATAGTCCAAGCTCGGAACCATCCCGAGATCGAATGTTGAAATGCTGCTACCATAGTGCACCAATTCCACGCGATACCCATCATGATAGGTAAGCTATTTGAAATCTCAAGTCTAGATTTCAAAGCAAACTGCACTGGGGCAAATTGTTCACTTCTATAATCACAACTCGGAGCTCCGGGAGAGCAACATGCATCAGAGATTGGCAGCGGGACAATATTCTGTAAGCAGGAATCCGTGAAGCATGGGAATTTCTGAATAAAAGCCCCGGGGAAAACTTCACTAATGAGCACATCTGGAGATTCGTGTGTAGATAGATAGCTTGGTGAGCTTAGGGGGTGCTAGAGCGTGGAGGTAGATGTGAAGATTAGGAGGGAAAAAAAAGAGGAAGGCTTCCAAGGTTCGTATTGGAGTTTACTCCAAGGTCAGAAAATCTGATCGATGGATTCCCAGCCAACCGAGAAAGTTCAAAATTCCTGAAGTCACTTTTACCTGAGCATCTTGTATATCTTAATATTTATTGGGGCCGGAGGCATTTACGCCTCAGGATAACAATCCCACCGACTCTCGAAGACTTTTTCCTACCCTTCCTTCTTGCCCTTTCCTTCCTTCTCTAGCTTACCTCTCTTTGCCAATTGCACCGCTTTCTTCGCGTTATGCCAGCCTCTCGCCTAAGTAGTACTTATCCTGGAGCCCAGTACGGGGAAGAAGGTGCGTAAACATAATGGAAATTAAATTGAAGAAACCCTTTTGATAGTCAACTGTCTATTGGTCGTATACTAAAAAGTGAAATTGAGAGTAATGACAAGTTTAAGCGAACGAAAAAACGACATAAAATACAGATTTTCTTCCAAGGTTTGTACAGGAGTCAAGGCAACAAGCCTTGATTTTGATGCACAGGAAGTTTTGAGCTGGCCCTAGAGATCCTTGATCTCAGATGCTTCAACAGCATGGATAAAGTCTTTGCCAAATACCTGGACAGGTGTCTGGAAGCCGAACCTGACCTGGTGATCCAGAACTCGCTTTGCAGCCTGCACCGAGGCCATCGCCGTGAAAGTATATCCGTTGACTGTGTGGAGAACCGCAGTGTGGACAGTTTTGTTTTCAGAAGTCACAGTGACCGCCGCACTATATGGTGAAGCCTCTCTCTGGGCCTTCGTCGGACCATCGGGCAGTGATTGAAAATCCCCAGTTTGGAAGCCGTCACCGTTGACATGCACATAGGTTCGAATGTTGTGGACATGGGTAGATCTCTGCAGAGTAAAGAGATCCGGCAATGTGACGGGGAAAGATGTAACTCTCCCGTTACCATCGTCGAAATCAAAAGTGATGGTTTCGCCCGGGTCTTTCTCAGCGAAGGACCCATGGACGACCTGGAGGCATTTGCTTGTAATGTTCTCGGATGCACTGATCAACGAACCGCGTGACATGCTTCCAGCGACATGTAGGGCGATATCGATTTTGCTGGGATTGTTCAAAGATTGGACGGCATGGTCGGCGAGGCAGCCCAACATTGCGACGCTTCCGCCGCAGCCGGGTAGAAGCATGACTTGAGCATTCTTTGCATCTTTGTCGAATTCGGAGGCTTGATGGTAGCTCTCCAATTCCGCGGATACATCAAGGTAATGAACTTTGTTTCGGACACATGCTTCCATGAGAGGTTTGGCGGTATGCACGAAGGGACCGGCGCAATTGAGCAGAACAGAAGCATTCCCCAATGTCGAATCGACCCGATCGGGATTGGTGACATCAAAAACTGAATAAGACACACCGAGGGAAGTTGCCAAGTCTTTGAGCTTCCCCTCTGTTCTTCCCGCAATCAAAAAATCCAGATCCAGTGCCTTTGCATTTTCACTGGCCAAGCGGCCGGTATATCCTGTCGCGCCATAGATAACCAAGGGTGCCATACTTCACGCAGTTTTGCTTTTTGAGACGGTCAACAAAGCGAAACGGCAACAAATGTGGAATTGTAGGGATCATTTTTTATTCACACTGATCTTATAGTCCTTCTGAATAAAATTCTATCACCAACGATCTCACCTTACGACCGGAACTGTAGGTTGTGGGCTTCGCAGCAATGCCAAGGCTTACTTTACAGCCTCAACCCGGAACTCCGAGTTCCAGGATTGGGGGCCATTTTATCGCGCAGCCTTATACATAGCCAGGGTAATACTACTGAATAATCGGAATAATTCCATTCACCCCGATAAACCCAAGCTTTTTTTTGAAAAAAAAAAAAAATTCGCAGTCATGGCTGACAAAAATGTGCATGAAAAACTTTTGGTGAGTGAGCCGCACTCTGGTTGTCCCGTCCCCCTCACTCTTTTGTTTCATGGCAATGATTTCCAATTCGTTAAGAATAGATCACAGGTGTCAGTGGCTATATTGGATTTCAAACGCTCACACTGGCTCTTGAAAGAGGCTATCATGTCCGTGCTATTGTTCGCAAATCTCTCGATATCGAGAACCTGAAAAGAAGCCCCCTCATCGCTAGCAGCATTCAACAAGAGCGACTTGAAATTATCACTGTTCCTGATTTTTTCAAAGAGGATGCGTTTTTTGAATGCTTGAGTGGTATACATGTCATCATCCATCTTGCGTCGCCGCTGGCTCTTGATGTAGGTCTGCCATTGCCATTCACTCTCTCACCGTCGCTGATAGCATGTTCTCAAAGACCGACGATTATGATGCAGATATCGTCAAGCCGGCAGTGTCTATGGTCACCACTGTTTTGGAAGCAGCTTCTCGGACATCATCAGTTCGGCGCGTTATTCTAACTTCTTCCTGTGAGTTGATTGTGGATCTTGGATGAGCCGAGCTGACCAAATTTCAGGTGTGACACTAATCCCATTTGAATGGAACATGGCTCCAGACAGCGAGAGACTGTACAACGGTAAATCAATTGAAAAATTAAGCTGTCAATAATATTACTCATACTTCATCAATAGTCAATGACGTGAATACTAGCGTCGAAGGCCCATTCCTGGGGGCCATGCAGGCATACTGGGCCTCGAAGGCCCTCGCTCGAAATGCAACCAAAACTTTTGTCCAAGACAAAAAACCTCAGTTTGACTTGGTTGGACTTCTGCCATCAGTTGTGATCGGCCCAGATCACCGACTTGATTTTGACTCATCTGCAACTGAAGATAGCCTTCTTCAGGGTGCACGCGCATCTGTGCTTGCATGTGCCCTTACCTCTGCACACAACTCCTCATTCCCATACGTCGGAACACCAGTGCATGTTGCTGACGTTGCTCGAGCGCATGTCGACGCTATTGACGCAGAGCGTGTTCCTGGAAACTCTGAATTTATTCTCTCCTCTGACACACCTGATGGAGTTGTCTGGAATAGAGATGTTCAGGACATCTGTAAAAAGAATTTCCTGGGAGAGGTTTCGAGCGGGCTATTGCCATTGAAGGGATCCCTGACGACTGTGACCTGGAGGCTGGATGTCAAGGAAACGGAGGAAGCCCTCGGGTGGCAGTTCACGTCATTTGAGCAGACGATGAGGGATTTGATTTCTCAATATCTTCGGCTCCGCAGAAGGTCAGAGATGCTCCCGGCTTTATGATATGCATGTTGTTGTTGAGTTCGCCCCAATCCTGTAAATAGACCCCCCCCCCCCCCCCACCTCTCTCTCTGTCTCTCCGCGCGCCATAGAATTGATTCGTTCCGTCCGTCTTTCTCCCTTTGCCTGTAGGATCGAAATACTTAACATCCAACATACCGGGGTAGCTAGTCAGCGCAGCCAGATACATAAATCTCTGTGGTGCACAACAATTTATAGACTATGACCAGACCGGATTTCTTACCGGGATGTGAAGGGCATAGCTCATGATTGAAACTTACTGAAACGCAGGTGTTAAGATTTGTTACTTCCTGCCTAGAACTATAGCTCCAAAAACATGCAGCTGTGGCTTTGAGACAACCTGGGCCCTAGGCTGGGTTGACTAGTAACAGAGTCAAGCGGGATAGAAACAGCCGGGACTACACCAGGCGAGGCACGGTCAGGCTGCCTGCTCTTCTACTGAAGAGCCGATAAGGGTGGACATTTGTTCAAACACAGCTTCCAACTACCACCGATGGGGAACCACGCTCGCTGTTGGCAGCACACCAACATCCCGAACAGGGCAAAAAATGTAAGGGGTGGACCGCAGGTGTTCCACTCTAGCGGCGATTTTCAACAGATGCACTTCCCCCAGTATCAGATCTCGTTCAGGCGAAACTGGGGCTCGTCGCATCAATAAGGCGAAATCCGATGTGAGCGGTCCACCGTGGACGACCCCGTCGACGACAGATACATTTTGTGTACCCCCGAGACTGGGGCGGCGAGGGGTCATCTACAGTGCGCACAAAAGCGAAGAGAGAAAAGAATGATCCATTCTGAGTTGGAAGGATCGCTAGCTAGGGTCGCGGTTGTCGCTAGCGCGGTGTCGATTCCGTTCGTTTTCTCTGGGGTCTTTCTCTCACGCTCACATCAACGACGAGTCCCGGGCAAGTAGGGGCGTTTGCGCCCCACCAACGCACGTCTTGCACGAGGCGATTGTAACCCATCGGCTCCAGACGAGCGACCTTGGCAAAGTCCACTCGAAGGAGGTGATTCGGTCCCAGATTTCTCGCATCCCGTTTATCGCAATTGAGTGCATAGATCTTTTCTTGGGTTCGATTGCCCTCTCTCCCCCTCTCTCCTTCTCTCTTTCTGTGGGTCTTTCCCTCATCCCCGCTGCCTGGATATACTTTTTCTTCTCTCGCCAAGTAGTGTCTTGGGGCTTGACTGATCCAAGCGCGAAGCGGTTTGTCTCCTTTCGGCTTTCATGAAACGGGTCATAGTCTAATCCCGGTAATATTTTTCGACGAGGGTTTGATCAATTTGGGGGCATCCTTGTTGAGAGAGCACCGCAAGAGAAAGAGACTGAACCGAGAATTGATTGCGAGGGAGAGAAGAAGGGAGAGAGAGAAGCTAAGAGGCTGAGCTATCTACTATTTGGGGTTGGTCGAACTCCCTACACAACAATCCTTGCGACACCTTTCAGTGTCCGCCGGGTCGGAAAACCCTTCTTTGTCGGCTGCATTCTTCTGATGTCTATTAATATTAGCAACTGTCAGGCTATAAATGCTCGTGAGTGGTGGGAGATAGCATACCAGACGTTGAGCAATGCTCCAAGACTTGTAGGATGTGGTCCGACGACAGCCTGAAGGGGTCTTGGGTGTCGGGGAGTGGCAAGTGAGGAAATGCGGTCAGGCTGGCGGCGACAGCGGCGTGGCCCTGGACCCGGGAGAGAAGACGCGGTTTGTCGGTTCCTCCCAATGTTTCTCTGTCACCCCAATAGGAGGTCCCAGGGATGAGGAATACAGGAGCACACAGATGTGGCAGGCCATTCAGGTCCTGCTGGTTTTGATTTGTGACGATAGCATCACGGATCATTCTCAGTAAATGGTTGTACTGAACGTGGTTGTCATTGTTTCCAAAGGGTGACCTGTGAGTAGCCGGATGAAAGTTTGCCGTTGCAAAATCTCTCAACCATTAGGTTGACGAGAATATTTACCTCGTCTGGCTCTATGGCTTTACAGGATGGTTCAAGTCTCCCTTGCACCAAATCTTCGGTGTTCCTTTTCTGTAGACGTGGAGGAGGACAGAGACACAAGAGTGGGAAGAAAGAGAAAGCGTATGGAAGAGCAAGAGTAGGGAAAATCAGAGAAGGGAAGGAAGGACTGCAAGTGAACAGGCAGTGAGCACCTTCCTTCTGTGCCATCATCCCATCATTGTGTCAGGTGATCTTTCTTTGTACTTACGTCTAGCCCTCTTTGCTTCTTTATTACTTTTTATCTTTCTTTTCCTCTTGTGACTTCTCTTTCGATCTCTCTTTCTTGCTCTCTTCATCTTTCTACTGTCGGACACTCATCGCTTCTTAAGAGTTCTCTCACATAGTTCAATATCTACTCACTGTCCTCATCGGACTGGGCCTTGTCATTCTTCACTCTTGACGAGATGCAACGGGAGTTGCCTCCCACAACCGGGGGTCTCACGGTTTCTATGTACCAGCCCTGGAAAACCAATGCCCCAATTCGACAATTTCAACTTTAATAATTATAGAATACATAATACCACTGCACTGTGTGTGCTATCCTTCAGCTGGCCAAATTTAGTAAACCCTGGGTACCGTCAGCGAATTTCTGCAAAGCAAAAAGCATCTGGTATCTTACCTTGGATGTACGGAGCATTGGTGAGGTAATGCTAGTAATCTAAAGAATGGTAATTTACGGTAATTTACTCTTGGAGAGGGGGTGGGAAAAGCGGGAAGTATCTGACATGGTAAAATTGGTATTGAGCAGATGGCACCTGTACATTGCCGTACCTAAAACCGGAGTAGTGGAGCTACCCCGGCCTTTTCCACATGTTCAGGTGGAGACAACCACAAGCTTCGCGGGTGAGGCCCAAGGTTCGCTGTGTAAATTAGGCTCAAGCAAAAAGAACAGTGAATCAAGAATCCTGTATTTACAACACAATGGTGGTATGTCACATCATTCACGAAGTTGATCATAAAATGGTTCCAGGGTGGTAACGAGAGCCACCGAGTGTCGATATCCACGAATAGCTAGTGTATCTATGTTTGCTGTGAGCGACTGAATCAGGGGCCCGAGGCTTATACAAGCATACAGCGAGATCACCATTTGATTCTGGTTTTCATGTGACTGTGGTAGGATAGTGGTAGAGAGACCATCACCCAGCAACTGTTATGGACAGGGCGTAGTTTCCCGGTTTTTTTCAAGCTATGTGAATGAGACACTTGAATTGGGTATAAAGCGGATAACGGATATACAAATTGCTAACTCATAGTCTCCTTCACAGCCCACACACTCCCCAACGGCCGAGACCTCGTCACCACCGATTTGATCCAAGCCCATCCAGCTCATGTACCTCAGCCGCATTGTTTTCCAACTCATGTATCGGCTCTGGTTTCTTCGCTCCATGCAGACCTAGCCCGTAGCCTTGGCCCGACGTATGTTTCTGTTGCGAAATATTCTCACTTCCGGTATTATTCGAGTAGAGTTCTGAAATTGGCCGTCCTCTTTCTGAGGGCATTCCAGGAGAGAACGAGGACATGCTGATGCCTGCTGAGGAGGTTGACGTGTGTTTCGGGTCGTGTCCTGCCCCGATCGTCGTGCCAGCGGGGCTGGAGAATTGCGAGTCTGAACACACGCAATAAATGTCAGCGAGAGACTTGACTGGATTCACCCCGGGAGAAGACTGGTACATACCTTGGTACGGCGATGCCGGGGATGAATACATATGATTCTGGCCCTCGACAACAGACGGGTGTCCATGTCGACTCATCGCAATAGCCTTCTTCTTCCTTCTCCGTATGAAGAACCAGATGAGCGCTCCGATGATCACCAGCGCTGCAACTGCCCCAACCACGATTCCCGCGATCGCGCCACCGGATAACTCGTCCTCTCCGTCACTACTCTTATCATCTGTGCCGTCATCCTTTAACAAGGCGAATTGACCCGTCTGGCCAGTGGTCCACGCAGCTGCAATCAAATCCTCTTTCGGGCACCCCTCGTTGCTCGGATCTGCGCAAGCATCGTGCGAGCAGCAGCCGATAAAAGGTGGGTTCGTCAAGCTGCAGGTATGCCATGAGTTGTTGGTGTTTAGGGTGCCGCCGATGCACGTGTTGGGCTTAAACTTGGGGTAAAGGGAAGGATCAAAGGTGGCTCTAGATAACTTGTTTGCGGGGCATGGCGAGGTGCTGTTTTCGTCGACATTTGTGCATGGGTCGACGGAGCAGCAGCCGACGAAGTGCGGCTTCTCCGGGCAAACCCACCAGGAGCCACCTTCCCGGCAGTTGAAGTGATTTGAGGTCGAGTTTGACCACTTACTCGGGTCCATTATTATTACAGTTGTATTCCGTCTTGATAAAGACTATTGCCTGCGAGAAAGTAAAAACGTCGAGATGGGAGAATGCAAAAGACCTGAAAACCGCGAATGACGAGTGTTCCGCCGAGTCAGGACTCAGGTTGCGTTTCAAAGAGAAGACAGCAGGCACGGGCAGGATGTGCGGAGTTCTTAATACTAGGGTCATCGTTGCTGAGTCAAGCTGACGAGGCTGAGAGCTTGGCTGGGGCTTGCGCCTCGAACTGGCGTTGGAGCTACTGCAGGCCTGGCCGAGGCCAGCCAATTTTGTACTTCTATGATTGGTGGGGAACAGTGACGGGTTCTTGGGAAAGAGATCAACCCTGCTCCGCACCGCTAGATGCATTCTTAGCGCAGATATAGGCTTAGGGGTCCAAATCTCCTGCTGTTCCGGCCGCTGGGACAAAGAAAAATTCGGGGTAAGACCAGCACCGAGCTGCGCTCGCTCGTATTTATATATAGATTCGGCCCAATGTCGCATTGCGCCTTGAAAGAACATTTTCTTCATCAGATATGATACCTCCTGCACTGTCCGTGTGTCGATTTTCAACGCCCAAATGCTCAACTGTCAGGGATCTAGTATCAACCTCAAATTCCAACGGAGCGGGGCTAACACGGAGCCTTGCCCTCATCTGTGGATATTATATGGATATCACATCGCAAAGCTAATGCACAGAGTACATATACGACGGTAATGCCAAGAGGTTTGTAATCCAAAGGGTATGATTGTCCAATCATAATCTTCTACAACAGGTGTACTAGGCCCCAATGAGGTTAAGGTCGCGCAAATCGCGCGATCTCCTCGTACGAGTACTATACGAGATGATTCTAACCTGGCCCACTCCGTACTCCGCACCTTCCCACCTGGGCATCTAGTTATAGTAACTACACTTAGTGTACCAGCTCCCCGGGGCCCGGTTGCGCTAAATAAAAGTAGCTGTCACATTTTCTTGCTAGTAGTTATCTGCCCAATTACTGGCCGCGTTGAAGCCACACGCCAGTGCGTCAATAGTTGGGTAGGTGATAGATACCTGGCAAGCAAGACATGTTGCTCTCTGAAGTTCTCTATATAAAACACACCAGAACCAGAGAAGGAAAAGAAAGAGAGGTGAATGGGTGCTGGGGTCGATGTCGATGCCTCAGGTGTTACGATGGCCTGAGGCATCAACTGGACCCTCTGTTTATGCTTTTCATTTGATGGCTCCTTGAAGCTTGTTTTACCGAACCAAACTTTCTAAATTAGAATATGTCAAGTTTATTATCCTTTCTAATCTCTTAATAGTGGCGATGGCAGTGCAAATGGACCACAGTCACGAGCAGTTCAACACTCTCGGTGTGATCAACACCCAGGTGCGATATATACACATGTCGAAAAGACAAACATTCCGGAATATCATAACCTGAAGTGAATGAGACTAACACAAGTAGTCCGTAACATACTTTCCCAAGTTCAGGTCTATCTTAAATTACTTTGTTAACCTAGGTGCAAATGTGAACCCGGGTGCAAATGGGTACGTCATACTCCGTAGGCAAGGCTGCGACAGAGCCTAAGCCCCCGCCCGGGCCCCGGGAAAAATCGCAGCCTTGCCCATGTCTCAAGAATGTACGGAAAACTCCGAGGTCCGTGTGTAGTTAGTTAGTTGAGCATCCCTTGCATCTGAGGCTCAAATGCCACTTACCTTCAATTTAACAATCGGATATACAATGATCTTGACTACTGAGTGAACAAATATGGTTAGTTGGATGCAATCTTATCGTGCTCGCATGAATCCGTCGGAATTATTCCCGATCAGGTGGACACAGGATATCTGGAATTGAGTAGAAGAAGCCAATATATGCCAAAAAAAGGGTGAAGCGCCAAGGTGAGAGAAATGTGAGATACCGTTTTACCACTGTAACTTTACGTGCTCGTTATACTCCATACGGATTGAAGAGTTACCGCGCAAACTAACCTCAAAATATTGAACATATGAAGAATCAACAAGCAAAATATTTGTGCATGGTGTCTTCATATGAGAGCCAAAAGACCAACCGAAAAGGAAAGTGAAGGAAAAGGCCGAGGGAACTGTGCATTTTTACCCGGTGTAACTTTACACATACAATACGCGTGTGTGAGAATGTACTCATATCCTCCAATTTACGGAGCCGCGAGCCTTCCACTAATCCAGGTACAATCCAGCACCCGCAGTGGTTGAGTTCCTCATCTGCATGAACTAGTACCCGAGCAAGGCTTGCTTAACATCATATACATCCAATACCGTGCCAAAGGATCCCTGGACATGACAGCCACAGCAATTGCGGGCCCACCCGCTGTTCCTGCCGCTCCTGCGGTTCAGGAATTCATGATTGGCTGGATATGCGTCCTCAGAGCAGAGTACCGAGCAGCTCTAGCAATACTAGACGAAAGATATGACACAAAGAGCGTTGTCCGAGGATCAGAAGACAAGAACCAGTACGTGCTAGGTCGCGTTGGACCTCACAACGTCATCATCAATCTCCCGCCAGTCGGCTTGAACGGACCAGTGCACGCGTTCAGCGTGGCCCGCGACATGAAAAGTACTTTTCCCAGAATGCGCTTCACTCTTCTGGTAGGAATCGCAGGCGGCGTACCCTCTCTGGACTCAGATATTCGCCTTGGAGACGTCGTCATGGGACAAAAGGTTGTCCCTTACCGCACCGGCAAAGAGACGCAATATGGCTTCCAGCGAACTGGCATGATAAAAGCCCCACCAAGTGAGCTTCTCACGACAATTGGCTTTTTGAACGATCGCATCGACATGGATGGGTTAGATCTTTCTCTGTCCATTGAGGAGGTCCGTACAAAGATTTCAAAAGGTGGAGCTGCATTTCTTCGCCCTACCTCAGATCGATGTTACAAAGTTGGCTTCGCCCATCAAGAATCTGGCTGTGATTGCCTTTTGCCAGAATCACTATATCCAGAGCGATTGATTCACCGCAGTGAGCGCGAGGATGACCCAGTCCGGGTATTTCTCGGGGCAATGGGATCAGACGCTGCTGTGATGAAGAATGCCCAAAGCCGAGATGCAATTGCTAAAAGGGAGGGCATTGTATGTTATGAGATGGGATCATGGGCTGTGATGGATCTCATACCTTGTCTTCCGATACGCGGGATTTCCGATTATGCCGACGAACATAAAAACGATGCGTGGCATTTATATGCCTCTTTGGCAGTAGCAACATGTGCAAGAGAGTACTTACTAGCGCTTCCCCAACTCGCGGTTCGAAACTTCCCCGTGATCATCCAGGGATCCGAAATCGAACGGTACATAAAAGGTACCACGAGCAACCCAAACATGTTTTGCGGTAGTGGAATTGAGAAGTTACAACAGACTCGCGATCACTTGAGAGAGCGCCGAGAACTATTCAAAGAGCTCATGCATGGAGAACACCAGGATTCAATCTCAATGGATCAACACGATGAAGGTGCGAATCAAAGTCAAGATCAAACGTTGAAGGATTTACGTGAAGGGTTGAAACATCATCTCAAAGTGCTTGATCAAATCATGGATCAAGAGGACGAGCTGGGTCGGAGCGGAGATCCGCATGTGAGGCAGAAATACATGCACCTGAAGCACCAAATACGGGCAGACAGGATGATAATGAGAGATCTAGCTGATCTTGCCCCCGAAGGTGTGGAGTATACTGGAGAATGGTTTGAGAATGCGGGAGATACCTTCGGAAATAAATCTATGAGGAAGACTGGTCGTCTCATGACATCAACTGGTCAATACTTCCGAAAGATGGGGCATTTGTTCAAATCGAAAAACATCACTCCTAAGCGCATGTGGCGAGGATTGCGACGAGGATTGCGCGGAGCTTATGAGGGATTGCGACGAGGATGGCACCGAACTTATCACTGGTTTTCCCCTGCCCAGCAAGGACAGTTGCTTGAGATGTAGGACATGAATGAAGTTCAACTGGAATACAACAACACAACTTCGAGCAAAACGATGTATCCGCCCCGGGTTATTGGAGCGAACTAGGTTCAAAAATTAAGGAGGCTCTTAAAATTCTCCTGATGGCCACCACCAGAGAGCAGAGACCCACGAATCAATGATATTTCGGATCACTTTGCTCTTTGAAGAATAATCTAAGAGCCATCCGAGCACATACGACCACAGGGTGTGGAGAACAGGGCTTCCCGTCCGCTCAGCCGTACTTAAGCCACACGCCGGTGAGTTAGTAGTTGGGTGGGTGACCACCAGCGAATCCTCACTGTTGTATGTTTTTATGTTTTTTTTATGTTTTTTTTTTTTGTTGCCGTATTCTTTCGTCTTAAGAATATTCTATGGATGGAGGTGTATCAGATCTAATCGGCCTTGAGGTGAATCCCAGGCAACTCCTCACTACCCCCTTTGACTTCGGCCAGGTATAAAACACCAAAAGGTTGTTCGAAGTTGCAAATAACGAGCGAGGACTCACTGTACATGACCTGGTAACAGCGGACCTGGTGGAAATAGGCCCAGACACTCCTTTTAGTTGCGGAACAAATATATATATGGATGCAGGATTATCAAATTTACCTTTAGAAAGAGATACATACCCCTGAAGTGACCCGCAAGCTTCGATTTGCACCTCTGAAGGTGTCTAAAATTTAATGATTTCATAAGACTACTAGTAAAACCCTATTGTCTTCGTGGATCTACGCAGTGCGGAGTGTTCCGAACCACGAGGTGGTAATACGATCAAAGCGATACACATACGCGGTCGGCAAGGCACTGCTGTGGAAACTAAAATGTTGGGACTAAAAGAAGATTCGGGGTGTTCTTTGCAAACTTCTTCCAAACGTAGGAGATACAAGTAGTCTTGGCAATAGGCGTGCGAGTACTTAAGTAAGGGAATCTGTTCGCAGGACATTCTTAGCATTGAGGCTGTGTATATTTCGTCCCCACTACTTTCAGCCGGTTTTTCCGTTGCGAGAGATATCTCAAACCTCTATCTAATGATAGACAAATCTCCGTCTCAGACAAAAACTTTTAATCACCATCAACATCCGCAATCATACATTCACATTCAAAAACCATGTTTTTACTAGGATCTCCATATCATGCTGCCCGGTCTCGACGACAAAAGTCCGCTAATCCGGCAAAGAAGCAGCAGCGAGTAATCGATCCAAATACTACGGAAGCTTCCAAGTCGAAATATCAACCTGGTTCTACAAGTGTAACCACTTCCAGCAGTGGTCATTCATGCGAAAATCCATCATCTGATCCCCATGCAAAGAATAAATCCGACACCAAATCTCTTGTGGCAGCAGGTATGGACGATTAACTCACCAGGAAGCAAATGAAACACCACTAAACTCACTCTCAAATCAAGATGATCCGCCCCCTCCCTACCCTGGAGCTACATCTCAAGTGAACCTTATGGCACCACAACACACCGCTACTTGATAACGGGTCGACGCTGAGGTCGGAAACTGATCCCGGGAGTTCTTGATGCATGGGATGAATCAGAGATCAAGATCGCGAAGAGTTCATAAATGTTTATCTGTACGGTTTCAACCCAATTGAAATGCTATCTTGAGTGGCCTAGCATTAAAGAAGACGAAATGCAATTCTTCATGATCAATAGGATGTTGTGTGTGGTTTTGTTTTCTCACGTAACCAGAAACCATGTTGGAGCTCCAAGGACAAGAATGATGATAGAAGCTCAAGAAGCCCGCCAGTGTCTAGGTCAACGTCAATCATCCGAAAGTGCAAACAAGACTCAGAGGTATTTCGACGCACCTCATGAAGAAAGTAGATGATATTCGGTTCTTCAAATAGGCTTCTTGATAGTTGTCACACCAATCCTCGTGGTTCCAGCCTTTGAAGTTGTCAACTTTAGAAAGCTTTCGGTTGTTTGACATTTCTGATAGAATACGGATCTACAGGAACAAAGATGTAGATGAAGATCGTATTCATCAACAAGGACAAGGGAAAGGAAGGAGAGAGAGGAGAGAGGGATCTATCTACTCTATAGAGGCAAACAAGCCCTGTCATCCTAAACAGGGTCGCCCAGCAGATCCCAACAATTTCCTGTCTCCACAAGCCCTTCAGGAAAGTTCAAATAATATTTCGCGTATGAGGTAGAGATGTTGAGCCCCTACTTCTCATTATTGTTTTTAAATGCTTCAACTTTCATTAAAGATTGAATTCTTTCCCCCAGGTACTTCAGCAATCACTCAGCTTTCGGAGTCCTCTAAAGTCTGCCATATGCCATTTCCATATAATATCAAGAAAGTCTGAGAATTTGTTCCTCTTTTGGAATAAACAGGTCAAATGATATAAGCCAGAACCTTTTTTGCCATTCTTTTGGATAGCCACTTACAAAAAAACCTTGAGTATCCTCGTTAATTTTTGCTTTGTTTGCGAAGCTTGCGCTCTCTGCGATCCTTGCGTTCCTCTGGGGAGGATTTGGAGCGTTTGAACTCAATGCTGGTTACGCAACAGCAAACCAAGGCTGCAAGAAATTCCAAGAATTCTAACATGTTTTGGAAATAAAATGGGATGACGAGACCAATTTCCCAAAGAAATCTGAAACATTCGGTAGATGAGCCTTGAAATGATAATTGGATGCAGGGTGCCTGTTGGGAAGCAAGATCACAGGCCTCTTACATAGATACATCCATGGACATAGATTACATATTGCTATGACGTCAAACCAGGGCCAAACTTTGTTGAATGAAAGGCTGTGCTACTTGACCGATGTGGAATGCCGAAGAAACATCGGAAAAAATTCACTCAATATGTACATTACTCTGTTTCCGCCCGAACCGTTATCTGGTGCTAATCTGGGGCTATGCATGGAGAATTGGGAAGGGGGAAGAGACTCAAATCTTGGTTGCCAAGAAATATCCCCGAACTGGACCCTGGAAAGATTGATTGGAGATTACTTGAATGTACGAGGTGCGTGGTTATAGGCTACAGTGATACTGCACAAAGTGCAATTTATAGAAGCAAGGAGGCGATACAGATACAGAATCATGGAAGAGCAGTAAGAAAAGCGGGCCTAGGAGCGCGAGGCTCGCAAGGCTCGCGGATCAACGTGCACAAGCAAGCAGAATATTGGTAAATGAGCTAATTCCCCACATACTTCTCCACTTTCACAGCCTTGTCTATACATGTGTATTGCATTACAGTACATCATCCCCGAGACCCGAAGGCAACCACATGATTCATGTATCTTCATGTTGTGTATGGATCTGCAGACTTCTCGAACAACGTCAACATAGGTACGCTCTATGCAGCATTCACTCCTGCGTATATGCCCGAAAAAATGAGATCCATGGGTGCGAGCCAAACTCTGGGGCGGTGCTTTGAGTAACCAACTGGCCAAATCTACATTCTACACTACGGCTCGAGAATACTTTCAAACTATAAGCCTGATCTCAGGATCACCTTGTAATGTTTGTTATGCACCAACTTTAGAATCACCGAACTACTGTATATAATACGCAATTGTGAAGGCAATCACATGGTTGTCATCATATCTCTGTCCGTCTTCAAGGTTATTTTGAAGAAAAAAGCGGATGGAGCCGCTTCTCTGCAATTTCCCGATTTAGCTGAGTATCTGCAAGTACAACATACAACTTCGAGTATGTACGCACATCACCATCGTGTATAACCATGCCGTCAAATCTGTGAAGTACTCTCATGTATAAATTCTCTTTCATTCAAAATTTTCTAACAAGTTGTATAGAATCCACTTCATATAAACAAAAGGCTGCTCAACCCGAATCTTAGCTGTTATATCGTTCTAAGGATTTTTCTGTTCCTTACCATGAATTTGTTTGAGCTCCATCAGGCCCCAGCATTACAGAGGATCTTTTGTTTTAACCTAAAACACCCCTTGTGCACTCAGCATATTTTTGGATCAATTTGCTCCACAGCCATGCACTTCCCTGTAAGGTTTGGCCGCAAACACAACGTAGTATCAATGGTATAGTCATAATGTAGGTAGTCTAGTCTTCTTCATAGAAGAAATATTGTTCTTTCGGTGCTCCAGGGTTCAATCACAGATACCACGAGGCAGCATATATTATTCGGGACTTTGCAAGATTCTGCCGTGATGTTCAATCTCCACCCATAGATTTTGTGTCATGCTCAAGTGATACTTATGTCTACCCTTTGTACTTCCTAAACCTGCATCAGGTCTATAGATATATGGAGCTATGTGTGTATTAGTGGAGCTAGTCTTTTACTTATATTCTGAAGTTCTTAGGGTTGAAAAATTTCAGTCAGCTAGTGCCAAGGGTATTTGTGGTTCTTCTCGTTGCAATCGATCAACCAAACCTAGACCAATCCATAGAGAACCCATGGATTTTGATTGGCATTTCCGATGAGATGGGATCAGCATTCAAGTCTACATTCTGCACCACTTTCTAAAGTTGTTGATTGAGCCTTGGTGGAGCGGGTGTGACCGCCTCGTGCTATACTGAACGCAAACCGGGATTGAGAGTACATTGACAGTATGCCAATTTTAGAAGGCCCATCTAGTCGTCGATTGCTGAAGCCTCCATCTTCCAAGGTTCCCTGGAGTTATAAATACCTCATGGATCTCTCCAGAGTTCCCTCCAATCCATCAAGAATCCACAAACATTGGAAACATCTATTCAATCTCCTGAAGACCCTCAACATGAAGCCTTCTACCCTGTTCTCCATCTCATCTTTCCTGGCTGTCGGTTTCTCTCAACCGGTCAAGCAGCAGCCCGCTCGATTCGATGTGGTTGTTGTGGGCGAAGGACCTCTCCAGTATCGTGCGCTAGCTCAATCCTCCTCCTTCTTCTACCTTGGTCGAGGCTCAGGATTCACGGACTCTTTCTGTCCCCCGAAGACCGAGAAAGCCGGCCGTTGCCCACCTGGCAAAGACACTGTCCTCAAAGACGCACATACTCTGGTAAAATATCCGTATCTTTCATGCTCAAATCCGATTGTATGCTTACTGACATTGAAAACAAGGACACCGTTGTTCCTGGACAGATAATCTACGTCGATTCCAATTATGCTGTCCGAGCCAGTGGTCCTAACTCAGGCTCCCAGGAAGCTGAAGGAGGCAAACTCAATTCCACCATCTCCTCTGGATTCAAATATACTCCAGGTACAGAATATGGAAAGTGGGACTACCAGGCAGATGGAATTGACGGCTTCCTGGCGTGTCCGTACAACAATGGCATCTACCAAGTGTTTGTGAACAGCCCCAACACACAGCCTCCCCGGGGACAAAAACTGGATGCCTGTCTTCCTTTCACCGCGGGTGCCTTCGAATACGACCTACCCGGCAACGTCACTGCTGCTGCATGGCAATACTAGATGGACGAAGTCTGATCTTATCCCGTTGGGTAGTATTTCTGCGTCCGAATTTACTACCGTCGGCACTTGACTCTGGCTCCTGTCTTCTTAGATCCCCTGCTCAAGTGTGTTTCAATACTGTGGCCAGGTGGAATACACAGAAACAAACAAACTTTATACACTCGTTTACCTTACTTTCAATAAAACAAACACTTACAAAACTTTCGTCCTAAAATTATAACCAACTTCCGGCTTGACTTAACTTTAAAAGAACTTATTCATGGATATGATCCCCCCGAGGTCGGTGTACGCTCTATGAGCTTTACTCATAAAGACCTATAGAAGGAGTTGTGGCGAAATGTCGATGCACTTGTCAGTGAGTGGTTGGAGAAGAAAATATCACATTCGCTCTCCGGCCGCGACCTACATCTAAATAAACCCTTGCACTCGTCGGATATTTCATTCTATTGTTTTAATATGTCAGAAGGTCAGGTGACCATATGGTCTCCCCCCCTCTCTCCATTTTTCTTCGTTCCCCCAAGGAGTCTAGGTCTCAGTCAGAGAAGATTAACTCTAGTATTAGATCTTGCTGATTTGATTCCAACTTTTTTACTGGTTGAAGTAAGCGCGTAGTGAACGGAAAGTTGGTGAGAAACCCTTACAGAGCAGGTGGTATCTGGGTTATAGGATGCACATTCCGACTATGCCAAGAGTGGCTGTGGTGCATGTTATTGAAGCTCATATTCACAGCGGTGCGGTAAGTCCCCGAAGCCCTCGGTATGTCGTCAAAGCCTTGGAAAGAGAGCTGCGGAGCCTGCCCGAAGTCCTGCCACCACACTTTTTTTATATTTCTTATAGCTCACATATTTTGAGAATATCTTGAATTGGTCGGAAGTGAGACTACAAATTTTCAATGGTTTGTGGTTTCGATAAACACTACGATGGCACTTTTGTCTCCAACGTTCGTTTGGCCCTTTAACTTCGGAATACCACATCCTTTGAACACTTTCAAGGTTCAAAGGCCCCCAATTTGCATGGACAAATGACAGACTCAGACTATTGGTCCAAGGAAATGTGCCAAGATCAAAGTACGAGTAGTTCTGAGTACAAGGCTAGATTGTGTGTACTACATGGATACAACTCAAGCGATCGGCAACACCACTGCGTCATTTCAGATATGTTACGGGCTGATTAGAACATAGCCCCAACAGCCTCGAGCGCTAGGCTGAGAGACAGTATCGTAAATGAGACGTCTTCTGCCACCGTTTCTGTCTCCGTTGTCTAAACCCCTCTCTCCTTTCTATTATATCAAAGTTCACATTTCCCTCAGCCTGAACCCCGTCAGTAACCATGAGTTCCATCTTCCGCGACATTTGGACTGCAAACACTCCCGGACCGAGAACAGCCCTTCGTATTTTCGATGCTCTTATTGCTATCATTGGGATTATCTGTATAGTTGTGGGATATGTTCGCCCGGCCTTCGGGTTCATATATTACATCATCGTATGAGACCCTCAGCACAAGGCATCAAAATCAAACACCAATGGTTGACTAACTAACCTTGAACAGCTTGGGGTGGCGGCCCTTTCGTCGATCATAGTTTCGTTCCTCGTCTATAACGAGCGCGCCGTTCATCCAGCGCCATTCATAGTCTTGGAGTTCGCGATCGCAGGAGTGAATTATGCCTTCGGAATCTTGAGTGCGATAGCTGCGAGTTACACCGATTATGGGCAATTCGATGCAATAATCGCAGTATTTTTGATTGTGGTTGGGTACGTGATATTGGTAAATCATCAAAAGGGAATCCAGCTAATCTTCCTTTAGATTCCTCCACAGCGTCTTCTTTGCCCTGGCCTGTCGAGATATGCATGTTCGACGAAAGCCGACGACCACCCAACCAACGAAATATATTATTGAGGCCGATGATGCTTGAGCTTTTTGACATGTATCTGTGATATCTAGTTCAGTGCCATCGACAAGGATCTGTGGCTCCTGGAGGTCCATACTTAAGTATCATCAATGGGTTTATCAACACGGCGCGGTCACAGAAGCCACATCTATAGATTGCTTGAATGCTTCCAACTTGTCTTCAGATAGTTTTTGACTTCAATTTATTACGCCGGCTACCGAAGAGAGAAGAGCGAGATGGCTGTCTGACAACGCAGACAGGTCGATACTTAAGTAGAGGAATATGGCGCTGGGAATGAGTATAAGCGTGAACAATTCAATCAACCTGTTCTCTGAGACCATCACACATTCTAAAAATCGGGATTGTATTGAGGCGATGTCTCATGGAGGAGTAAATTAATTATTTACACCATTGCTATGGATTCAACTCCTGTCTGTTATTTACTACTCAAATTGCCTTTATTTCAGTGAATTAAACGATTCTCTCACTAGATTCTAACTGGAGTTCCGGGATATCCCACCATTCAAACCTCATTTTGGAACACTCTTTTTCTACGTAGCTGAATCGATCTTTGTACCCAGGGTGCACCTCCGCCAGCCCCTCTTCCTGAAGTCACTAGGTCATCCTTTCATTCATAGAACTGATATTGCAATTCTACGAAAACTATCGTGCGTATCATTATTGAATCCTTGCCAAGATTCAATCTCACACCCAACATAAAAAGCTCCAGTCTCTTGTGTCACCCTCGCCTTTATCGAGAAAATGATTTCAAAAATAAGTGTCAAGCTCGACAATTTGTCTAATCAGTAGAGTGAATGAAACAGAAATTTCAAATGGGAAATACATAGAAGAGCGGCGAAAGTCACAAGAGATGCAGCAAATCGACTTGTCTTCAACTTTAGAATGAACATGAGCCAACTCGTGGGCCTAATCTTGAATCATTTTGACAAGCTGTATCACCACCATCATATGCCGGATTCCTCCTCGTCGGAGCTGGACTGCAGTAATCTGCATCGCTTGAGTCCGCTCAATGCTGTAAAATGAATCTTTCGTTGCCCCTTTTTATCAACTACATGTTCATTCCACAGCCTGCCATGCCAGCACAGAAGCTTTTGCCTTTCGATCTTGTCTGAGCAGCCACGGTGACACTCACGCACCCACCTTGCTCGAGACCAAGACCCTGTGTTCCGCTAATACAATTTCCTGGCGCCCCAGGCGTTGCGTTCATACAGGCTGGATTGCAGGGGTATGCCTCGCGGTGGATTTCGGGATCGCGCATGTAGGGGTCTTGGAAAGGGTCTCGCGAGGGATTGCGGTGGGTATTATCGCTCCCTGTGGAGGCAGTGCGATTGTATGATCGTCGTTGCGCTTTCTCCCAGTGGGACCTAAGCTGTGCAGTTTTGGTTTGTATTGACTTGGGGTCAGTCTGCGCTTGGATGCGAACTGCACTATGTGAAGAGATGTGTGGCCCTTGACTCTGACCCCCATCAAGGGTATTGTCGATGCGTCCATGGAGAATTGCAGCATTGGCCTTGGCCTGAGAGGCTGATTGTGATATCAAACGACCAAGTCCCTCATTGTGAGTTTCACGCACTGCCTCACAGTACCAGCAGGTGCATTCGCTGTACACCTTGCCGCGTGTGAGTTTTTGGTACTGTCTTGAAGTCCAGGCAAATGCATCGGTGAGCTTTCCTTCGTCAACTTTGTCGTCATGGTTGACGAACATGCCTTCTGTCTGCGTAGTTGAGAAGTCGTAATAGCGAGCGGGAGAAAGCTGGTGCGTGTGCCAGATCAAGTCAACATCCAAAGTTGGAACAACGGCATGTCCTTTATTCCGGGCCATTATCTGGAAGAAAGTTTCATATTTGCTAATAAAACCAGTCATGTTTGATCCCAATGTCGGCGAATGCAGCCAGTCTATGTCGTCCATCTTTCCCACAAATGTTCCTTGTCGGATCACTGCTCCAATCAAGTTGATGGCGAAAGGAGATGAGTTGTCCCAGTATCTGGAGAGCATATTGCGAAGCGACATCTTCTCTTCCAGGCTCGGGTCCCCAGAAGACAACGCTTTTTTGTTCACGCGGCGTATCAATGAACGGTCTTTCAGAAAGACCTCAAGACGATCGCGGATAGTTTCAACAGTTGTACTCTCATTTTCGGTGAGATCTGTGAGTTGCAATAGCTCGCTTCTGATCCCTTCCTTGATAAGCCGATTTGGGAAGGACTTGTCACCATTTTTGTCGTCTGTGGGAGTGCCATTCTCCGATAAAAGCGTACCAGGCATAGGCACATCATCTTTGAGTAGCCTCTGCACATCATTGTGAAGCTTTTGCACACAAAGGGAATCATGGGTAATACTTGATTTGCACTGTGGACATGAAACCCTCAAAGACTTGTCTGCGTATCCAACGCAGTGTGCAAAAGCGACATCTGGATCGCATCCGATCGAACCACTTGTCCATTGAGCAGAAATATCCTGCTTACATCCAAAGCAAGTAAGAGACTTTGTAGGTCTATCGTGGATATTTTCCCAGCATTGGCCAGTATTTGTCTCGAAGTTCAACTGCGCTGCGCTGCCAGGATGGAATTCAAGTGTGTCCTTGTTGATCGATGTGTTGATCACATCCCATGGGAAACCGGTAGCCCAAACACTCATTTTGGATTGACGCAAACAGTCTTCGAGAAAGGCACGTGGGTTAAGCATGTATGCATGCCAGACCATGATGACATCTGAATTGATAGAAAGTTAGACTTCGGGAGATGGTAACATGGCATAGGGGTTTGAGAAACCAACCAAGTGGTGGTATAGTATCAGCAGTCCATACTATTTTCGCTTCTGATGAATCATTCACCATTGACATTCGTCTTTTGTTGGAGCTCGGGAGGCAGTTCTTCCACCAAGCAGCGAATCGGTCGACAGCTCTAGTCACATAGACAGCCCATCTTTTCTCCTGGATGCGAACAGCTGCCTGGGTACGTTTGCGGGGGTCTGAAAAATTCTTGGCTTCACTATCGTGGATCCCGAATAGGTTGTCTGATTCTGTAATAAACTTGCGTAGCTTGGCGGCCGCAGATAGAAACTTGAGATGGGTGATGCAATCATCAATAGCCACTGGCCCCTCAGATCCAATGCATCTATCATAGGACAATGTGTGAGAGCTTTCCGGTGGCCAATAGGTCGGCGGCTCATTGATGTTTTCGGAGATCAAAGAATATGGTGGAGGATTGGTAACTGACTCAGCACTCTTTGTACGGTTAGCGAAATCCGGTTTTCCCATTTTGTAGAAGCAACGGTAAGGAAGAGTATGGATGTGAAAAGTGGCACACGAAAAACCGAGTTCAAAGTCCCAAATACCCGTGGAAAGATCGTCATTTTCCGTCGCGTGGGGCATAAAAATAGCCACAAGGGAGCGCAAGTGGGAGGCTGTGAAGACATGATGTAATGAAGGGACTAGTGGTGCAGCCTTGTGGCTTGGCGTTTAATCTGTAGATCTCCTACGAGGTAGGGGAATGTGTCCAAAGGATCGCACCGGAGAGATCCACCCACAGGTTCCCTGTTCCAAGATTCCACCTGGGCAAGATCATCTTGCTGAGTCATGTATATTTCCATATAAAATACTAGCCAATAACGAACAGAAGAGGATAGTTTTATACCACTCTATGGTTAGCTTTACTTTCTAGCCCGAAAAGCGATATTTTAACCACATACCGATAAGTTATTAGTAAGTTGGCTACCCATCAGCGAATTTATCATCGTTGTATTTTTTTTTTTTTAATTTTCCCCCCCTTTTTTTACACTCAGTGTCAGGCAGGAAAATGTGAAGAGAGCGGTCCAACCTAGAAAGAGATAAGACCAAGAATAAGAGAAGAAGAAGTGAAGACGAAGTGAGGAAAAAGTGAAGGAGAAGTAAAATAGGGTTGGAGACCTGAGATGTATCGGAAACATGAGAAGAGCAGAATCCTGGCCAATCAGGAACAGCGCCTTGGTCCCCACCGACTAGTTCCACGCTGTCTTCTTCCGAATACATATATCGTTTTATTGAGAGCTATAATTAATCGGTGTAATCTAGTGAAGTATCTCCAAGTCTTTCTGCTGTTCCAGATGGTTGCTTAAACTTCTGACATCTTCTCTTGACTGGGATACTGCCCCAAGAACTAAATTCATTCTATTAGAATTCTGTTAAAACTCAGAGGACTGTCTTCTGTTGACTAACCCTGCCTAAGTAACTCATTCACGGGGTGCTCTCCCTCAACATTATTTGGTTGCAAGAATGACAGGATTTTCTTGGCGAATGCTGCAGCAACAGCGGCGGCGTATTCCTGCCCATCCTTGTTCTTGTGTGAGTCTGCGTATTCGCAGGATCCTCGAATGACGATGGATGGAAAGTTGTTTGTCAGCCCCGCCGCTTCTATTCCGATGCAAAGGAGGCGGCCACTGAGATCTTTGTTGAGTTTGTTTCGCGAGCAGCATCCTTGATAACCTGGTTTCCTTACACGATCAGGCCGAAGTGGTCAGATATATCTCTCGGTTTTCGTTTGACGATCTGTGTTTTGTCGCAGAATCGACAGCTCTCTTCTCCGTGCTCGTCTTCGCCATCAACATCGAGATCCGAGACAGGCCCGTGGACATGTCCGTAATCCACTTTGAATAATGTGTCTTGCAAGTCAAATGGCAGGTACTTCGGTACAAGTCTCGGCCATCTCTCTCACTTTCTCCAGGTAAATTGGTATCTTGGAGCCAAATCAATTCGTGTTTCGAGTCCAACGCTGTCAGAGTCGTGAGCAGGGATGTAGGTGGATTGTTTAGCGACCCGGTCCGTTCAAGGTTTCTGCTTTGTTTTGCTTTGCCCAAGTCCCATTGGACTACACCGGGAAACTGGCCGACGGGTATTTTAACTACGACATCGTCAAGCCTCACCTTTGGTGGAACACCGCCGCCGATACCCACCATCAGGCCAAATGGATGGAAATGTCAAGATCATCCAGGAAGCAATGTTGGCTGCCAAATTGTTCCCAATGTGGCCTTTGGGCAGGCAGGCTATCACAACGTTGTGGTTGCCGACAGATCCAAGGGTTTATGTATTGGGGTCATTCCGTGGCTTCGCGAGCCCGACGTATCTTTGATCTAGCATCGCTATCGCCGCGGTCTGCTCTTTTTGCAAAGCACATACCCACCCCAAAATGTATTTCCCATGACTTCTGGATGTGGTGTCCACCTGTGCAGCCATTGCAAATGAACTGGCCCAGGCTTCGGGGCTCCAAAAGCCAACGTTGATATCAGTTACCCACCGACGGTGCCCGTCAAAGGCCCCTCGACTTCATTATCGTTTCAGATACTTTCTGACCTTCATCTGGAAATCAATCAACAGTAATCCTCGTTTAAAATACCTAGATCATTAAAATATCTCCTAGCCGGCGACATTGAGCATCTACAAGATTACAATAAATATCTTAGCTTCCTTCAAAAGCAAATCAGGAAATTCGAAATGATGTTTTTTGTTTTTAGGAATTATTAATTTCACAATAAATTGTTTGAGTCGGAATTCAAAAAAACCAACCAATTTAAATAAGAGTTTAGTTTGAATAAGAAGTTTATATTACTTAAGTACTTAATAAACATCGATATAATGTCCCTAACATATATCTATTGATCTTGAATTGTATACTGTAGTTGTATATATTATTCAAACCAATAGAAATTGTCGAATTTGTTGAGTTCCCTGTTCCCTACACCATGCTTAAGTAGTATGGTCTGAGCCACATAGTGGACGTTTGGTGGGCTTTAGTACTTATGTCAGGCGGATCCCATAATTCCCTGCGAATGCGCCCTCACCCCTGTATGGTTCGTATTACCCTTGTATGAAGATGGAACTTCTTACAAAAATCTACCACACATTACATCAGTGTCTCAGCTCAACACATTTTTCAAATAGACCCCGAGGGATGCAGAGGTTTTCATATGATCTGTAAAGGAGACTCCTTCGGATCAAAATCCACCCTGTCTGCATACATCTTATGCCTCTACAAAATATGGGATGAGTATATAGCTACTTGATGATGTACAGAAAGTGATATTTGTTGGGATGGGGGGTGCGGTCCGCTTCCTGGTTCAAGATGACTGCGAATGAAGCTAGTACTGTGATTCAATTAATTCACAGCCTTCTAGGTAGACCCCTATTCAAGGACGTCATTAGGGGGAAGAGGAAAAAGGACCAGAGATCCTCTGAACTCGGCCATAAGCCTTTGCTGGAATACATATTGCGATTTTGCAGCCACGGTGTATATGACAAGGCTGTGGATGTGGAGAACTGTGTGGAGAATTGTGTGGAGAATTAATTCATGCTATCCTTCAATCATCGTGCTTTTGGGCGGTGATTTCTGAGTATTTTTCTCGGCAAGATATGAGTTGAGCCGTTTCCGATTTTCTTGCATAGCCCTAAATCTGCATTGAGTTGTATGAAAGACTAAAATTTGGCCGTTGGGGCCATGGATCGTGTTATCAGACTGGTATATATTTTGCATTGATAAAATATTTGTAAAAAGCTTGCTTGGTGGTCCTACAGAGATAACACAGAGGGATTATGATCATCCTGGACACCACCACATAAGCTCTCATTTTTGTAAATTTAGTAGGAAACTTGGATTCCGTTGTAAATACAGTAGTGAACGCTTTTTTTTACAAAAATAAGACCTACGTGTTACCTTCGAGATGGCTGCATAACTATTTATTAGTCACGAGCTACCAGTCTAAGACGATGGAATTGCAGGCTACGATCTGCAAATGACTGTATGGAAATCAACGTCGATGGTATTTTGAATAGCTATGATAAGAATGCTTACCGCTTTTCCTTAATCTAGATGACCTATATCCACTTCGCACAGGATCACGGGGATGATGATTGTTTTCTATGGCGGCATGTGCTGATTTGACTCTTTGCAAGGCGAATCGAATCACCTGGATTGATATTCTATCTCAAAGTTATGTTTGATAGTTTTTCGAATGCTTCGTACCAAATGAGCTACTTTTAATTGATTGCTGTTTTTAATGCTGTGTGTTCGGATTGGAAATAGCTGTCAGCCAATAAAGAGAAGATCGAGAGGACATTCACTCGGCTCAGTTCAGTTCATGGGTACCTGATGTTTTAGTTTCTGTCTTATTCTTAAGTATAACTTGCTAGTTTACACAAATTTTTTTTTAATTTTTATTTACTTTCTGTTCGATTAAGTGTTACCACTTCTGCGCAATTCAGTGCCCCTACTGTGGGGAGATTTATCACTGTACTGTTTTTGTGTTGAAATAATAAGGCATTTGAGAATACTGGATAGACAACCATTCGCTAACTTCTTGGGAAAAATATTGCTAATCAAGGATTTTTATAGTTGATCTCATATGATTGCAAATTGCGATCAGGATTTTAAGAGTTGTGGTAGATAGAGGCCAGCAGGAGAGTGGGTGTTTAGTAGGTAGGAGGATGTTTGGAATAAGAATGAGATAAATAGAAAAGGTCAAGGTAAAATATTAGATGTAAATGTTATATATGATTGCTAAGGATATTGAGACATGTTCTGACCAACCTATTTATATAGCGCGATGAGGTGGTGTTGATGCTGATCGCATATGCTGTATCCATGTCATTACCAACTCAACCTTACATCCAAACTATGTTATTTTTGTGTTGAATTGTATTGAAAGTTGTATACGAATCTATTATTTGTTAAAATAGAAGTGGACATGTGCAAGGTTATCCGGGTATTGAGGCGTGTAGCTCGACAACAAAAACTGTTAAACAAATCTATTAAGGCAAAAAGAGTGTAGTTAAAACATTTTCTCGGTCTTATTTACAAATAATCTCGACATGAAAACCTCTGTATATTATAAAGGAACAATGACAATGATCTGAAGTAGTTTTGCTAGAAGTTGCTTGTTATTTGGGCAAGCATGGCCAGGATCTCAGGAAGATTCCAGAAGTTTCACTATGACACTAACCTTTTTGGGAAAGTGTCCTACAGCGTCGCTTGGCAAAGTGGGAATGTGAATCGTCTCATCAGCTTCTTGACTTAATATGTTTGCATATGGAGACAAGCACTACTGAGATGAAAATAGTTCATAGGCTCTTACCACAATTTAATGATTCAACGATCGGGAAGGCAAACACCGTTAACGTAAAGGGGAAATGGAACCAGGGGGTTTCGGCGGCTCATAAAGCTTTCCTAGAATATTGGGCTTTGTAATAATGAGGTATATAAAAAGATTGTGAATGTGGCGAATTGTGTGGGGAATCAGTTTATGGTACGAGTATTATTTAATGATCGTGCTTTTGGACGGCGATCTCCGAGTGTCTCTCTCGGCAAAATATGAGGCCTTTCCGATTTTTCGTGTATAGCCCCGAATCTGTATTGGGAAATTCTTTGAGCGTAAATAGAGTACTGAGACGAAGTTTGATCTTATGTGCCGTAGGCGCATCGCCTATTGGTTAGTACAGCCCTTTCGTTCGAACAAGTTTGTTTTTGGCTTGGTGTTATATCGAGTGCTTATCTGTGCTTAGTATAAGCTTGTGATCTGTTTTCTGGATACGAATATTACATCTAACTGTCATTATAGGTTCTATTCATCAAGCGCCTCCAGCTTTATTCTAAGAACCGATCATATTATCTCATCTTCACGATATGGATGTAATATTCCTAGAATTTTTGGTAATTTTGGTGTGTTGTTGCGTGATCAGTGTTGATTTCAAACGACCAAAATCCTCTGCTGAGGAACGCTAGGTTCGCAGAGGGCGCAAAGTTTGCAAATAAGGTAAGAATAAATGAAGATGCCTTTGGTTTTATGTAAGTGGTTCTTCAATATTAAGCTCTATTGCGGCAAGAGATGGCAAAAGATTTTGACTAGTAACAGTCTGACTATGGAAACCCTATCTGGTGGAGGATACAAAATCCTACTTGTTTTTCCTGTTAACGCCAAAATTGAGATCTAGATTGCTAAAGCAATGCATTCTTTATCCCAGCAATCTAAGCCTAATATCGTGAGAACTGCGCGTGAGTTGAACGTACCTGAGGGCTGGCTTCGATATTGATGGAATGGTGGAAAATCCCTATTTCAACGTCAACCTCACGATCGGAAACTTAGTTCTGCACAGATATCTGCTTTATGTGAATTCATTGATTACTTTGATCAAGAGAGTGCTGCAATAAACCAGTCACATATATCTGTCGTCGCGAAGTCAATCCTTGAAGAAGCGCATACCAATCCTGCAATTCCACCCTCTCAAGTCGGCGACCATTGGACTGATCGGTTCTTGAAACGCAACCCTTCATATTACCGACGTCGCCGACGAGCTCTTGATATTCAACGAAGTCGAGCAATGGATAAAAGTGTGGTAGAAAAGTGGTTTGAAGAATATGTCGAACTGAGGGGTGGTATTTTACCACTAAGAACAGGGTTATTCATCAAACAAGAAACTTGTACCCATTCTCTCCTTGTCTCTGTATGGTAAACGGGGTATTGCCCGGCATACCAGGGTCGTAGCACGCTAGGAATGACTCTTAAGATCTGATAATGCTTTAATACCAAGATCCAGATAGAACAACAATCAATGCATATCAATGGGACACCTCAATAATAGCACATCCCAGTATCTGTAAATCCGACAGCTCCTTCTATAATATAGATGTGAGACCAAATGATGTATTTTATACGAACCTGCTTTACACGCGTTACCACCTTGCATCGTTCCCTTCTGAGATAATAATCAGGCTTCCTCGCCTATTTAGTCAGGCTGTTATTTGGGTTTATGCGAGAAGATAGTTGAGCAGTTCATTGCCCCAAATCTATTTTCTTTTAGTAATATTTGCATTTGGATAAATGTAGAGGAAAAGTTATTGTAATAGGGCAAAATCTGCAGCAGGGTATTCCTAATACAAACGATCTGGTTAACCACAGTTAAATTCGCT